AGGGGCAAAGAGGTCACTAAGTCAACAAGATGGCTACTAACAGTCAAAGTCACTGGCGAGCAACATGGCGGCCAAGCACAGAGCCCTGGGCGTGAACCAGGGCAGGGGTCAAGTCATTTCATAGAAAGACTGATAGGCCAGGGCCATTTCGCTCACCTGCCCCTGGCCTATGGAGTAGCTGGAATATGAACTGGTGCTATATAGGATCCAGGTGGATGCAAGGCCAGGATTTAGCCACTAGGCTAATTGCACGGGGCCCAGGATTAGCTATTTCAAAGAACCCAGCTTTCTGGAGATGCATATCCAGTGCTGTAGAGAGCCAGTCCCGGAGCATGGCAGAGTAGTTTAGCTCATGTCACCCAGTTGCTCAGGGTGTCCATGAAGTAACCACAGGAGCAGCACTCCAATGCCTTGTGTGATGGTGTAGCGGTTAAAGTCCTCACCTTAAGCGCACCAGGATCCCATATGGGCGCCAGTTCTAATCCTGGTAGTGCCACTTCCCATCCAGCTCCCTGCTTGTGGCCTGGGAGGGCAATCTAGGATGGCCCAAAGCCCTGGGACCCTGCACCCGCATGGGAGACCCAGAAGAGCTCCAGGCTCCTGGCTTTGGATTGGCTCAGCTCCAGCTGTTGCAGCTGCGTGGGGAGTGAACCATCACATGGAAGATCTTCCTCTTCTCTGTATATCTGCCTTTCCAATCCAAATAAATAATTTTTTTTTTAAAGAACAAGGCTGTGAACTGGTATTACCTCACTCTACAGATGAGGAAGCTGGGACTGAGAGAGGAAGGGAAATTTTCAACAGCTCAGCTGTTTGAAAAAATGACCCCAGATTTAAAGGCTTGTTAAGTAATTCCTACTTCATAAGACACACTCTACCAAAGGGAACCCCAGCCCCAGACATCCCAATGGCAAGGCGCTTTTTCCATATACTGCAGAGCTGAAACATCTTTTGGCCAGTGATGTTAAGCCCCTGGGGCTTTGCATTTGGTTTCCAATAAGCTTAAACCTATAATGGGGCACCTACCATTGTTTGCAAGTCCACGACGGTACATAAGTGTCCATCAAAAAGTTCAAGGAAAATAGAATTGAAAGTATTTTGGTGCAAAGACAATTATGAAATTCAAGCATATGAGGATCTTCTAAAGGTTCATGAAAAAGGCATTGTGAAAAAGTATGCATGGACTTAAGAGTGTTTTTATACCAGATAAATATATCTTTTGATTGCACTTCTCCACGAAGCTTTTGAGAACTTCATACACAGCCAGGACTTGGCCCTGGGCTGCGTGGGCCTCTGGAGCCAACCAGCCTTCCTGAGGAGACAGGGCCCTCAGCACAGGTTAAACACGAGCAGGTGCTTGGTGCAGTGGTCCACACTGTTTGAGACATTCATGTCCTGTGTATGCGTGCCTGGGCTTTCAAGTCCAGGCTCTTGCTTCTGCAGGGGCGGCAGGTGATAGCCAAGTGCCTGGGTCCCTGCCATCCAGATGGGAGCCCAGACGGAACCTCTGTCTCTTACGTAAAAACAACAAATAACAGCATGATACTAGAAAACACACATAAACTTTATTTACAGCTGCAGACTTAAACACAGACGATCCTGGGTTCTGAACCTGCGGTACTTCCGGAGTCTCCTGATTGAGTGGATAGCAGCAGTCAGGCAGGATAAGCCAATCCAGAGTGTCTGACCGAAGCACAGCACTGGAGCAAGGCGAGGCCTACAACAGCAGAGCAGTGGAGAGCAGTGAGGCTGGGCACACAGGCAGCACATGGGCCCCGCAAGGAGATGCAGCTCCTCACTGTCCTCTGCTTCTCTTTTGGACCAGCAGGACTGAGCTGGTCCAATTTTCACCACAGGCAGGACCTTGGGTTCTGCAACGTTGAAAGGTACATTTCACAAGAACCAAGACAGACACTAGCGTTTACGGCCAAGCATATTGTCGCATTTATTACTCGCCCTTCACCCCTCCAAGTGGTACACATAATCTCCGTGGAAAGCAGCGAAGTAGTCCCGGGGTTTACTGTCTAAGGTCAAGACCAGCAGAGTGATGGGGCTTCCTGGTCTCCCTGGCTCCAGTCTGTGCCCTTCTCATCAGAATTGGCAGCAGTTGGTGCAACTCCGGAACAAAGAGTAATCCCTCCTCCTAGCAGGTTCTGGTGGCAGGGGTAAAAAGGAAGGAAGCCTGCACTGTTTATGGCCTTGAAGACAGCTGTACTGAGAGAAGCAAGGAGTGACTACTGCCAGATATCACTGCCCGCCTCCCTGGCCACCACGGGGAGCCACCCCTTCTCCTGAGGACAGTGGGTCCTGTGGCAGGATGCAGGCTCAGACAGAAGATTCACCCTGAGTCTTCCAAGCAAACTGTACAAAAACGTATAAATTCACCTATCAAGTGCATAGGGGCAGGCACCAGCACCTAAGGACCTAAGTTCTAGTGGATCAGGCGCTGTGTCAGGGAACATGGCTCTTCTTGCTTCAAAGAGCTCTCAGTCCAGAGAAGCACAGACCAACACATCAGTGACTACTGCTGTTAAATGCTGTACCGGAGGAGTGAACAAACTAAGCATTGATGGAGCCCCCGGTTGGAACAGCCTCACCTAGACCTGGGAAGGTGAAGGGATTGGGGAAGGAGTAACAAACTGAGCTTAGCAGCAGTTGTTGACTCAGGATTAGTAAATCTACATTTCTACAGTATTATAAGGTAGATGAGCAAGCAGAACCAGAGATTCAAGCATGAAAAAGGACAACATAAACTGAAAAAGAGTCTCTGGGTTGTATCTGTGCTGAAGAAGTAGCTACTGAGGTAGGCGTTGAGTGTAGCAGCTAACAGGTCACCTGGGGTGTGATACCCAACACTGGAGTGCCTTGGTTCAAATCCTGGCTCCTGGGCCTGGCACAGTAGCCCAGTGGCTAAAGTCCTTGCCTTGAACATGCCAGGATCCCATAAGGGCACTGGTTCTAATCCTGGCTGTCCCGCGTCCCTTCCAGCTCCATGCATGTGGCCTGGGAAAGCAGTGCAGGACAGCCCGAAGCCTTGGAAACCTACACCCACGTGGGAGACCCAGAAGAAGCTCCTGGCTCCTGGCTTCGGATCGGCTCAGCTCTGGCTGTGCGGCCGCTTGGGAAGTGAATCATTGGACAGATTTTCCTCTCTGTCTCTCCTCCTCTCTGTATATCTGCCTTTCCAATAAAAATAAATAAATCTAAAAAATATAATTCATAAATAAAAGTTTTTATTATAGTATCTCTAAATAATATTATGAGATTGACTTCTTAGCAAGTCAGGGTTGAGACCGAATCAGAGGGACCTAATGTTAGAGCTCGCTGGAGCCACTAACTACATACGGCTCTTGAATTGCACAAAATGAAAAATTTAGCCTTTAACACACTACAAGTGCTCCCCATTTGCATGGTCTGCGGCTTCCACACAACACAGGCCACACACACACAGACCTTCCCTTTCCCGACGGAAGGCATGATTTCTTGCACAGTCCTAAAGACCTAGTTCACACAGGCTCTGGAACATCCAATGGGCATCTGAGGAGTACATTCCGTTGGAGCCCTAAGCTGACAAGAGGGGCTTTTGTGGGGGCAGAGCTCACATGCTTCTGCTAATGGTCAGAGGGGAAGTTCATGATCCTCAGGATCTCCACCCTCAGAAACCAAGCCGCCAATAGGGACTTCGATAACAGACTCAGAAAATGCAGCAGGGAGACTCCCGACGTAAAGAATTTCTAAACAGCTGATCTTTGATTGTCTAGGAGATGCAGGGAGCAGGTCAGGGTGGGACCCACCAAGCAGCTACTGAGAGGGGACAGACGGTGGAGCAAAGCGCAGGCTGTCAAATGGGGCCGGGGAGGACCATTTGGCCTCTGCAGGGAGAGGCTCACGCGCAGCTCCCAGCATATACTTGTGCATTCCTGCCTTGGCATTGCTGACACACCAGTTCCCTGCCTAAAATGCCTAACATTCCGCCTCTCTACCAGCTCATGTAATACGTTGATATTGAATGCCTGGAATTGCCAAGTGCTCTGAGCACAATGTGAGTCACGGATAGATGTACATACAGTCATTCATATTGTGTGGTACAAGCCTACAGCTCCATCTGGAAAAAACACAAAAGTTCTACTTCCTACTATTCATAAAGATAAATGCTAGGTAGTCATGAAAGAAAAATAAAGCTACAGAAATATTAGGAATAACACGGATTGCGATCTGAAGTAGTCAAGACTTTCTATTTTTTTTAAAGATTTATTTATTTTGATTGGAAAGAAAGATATACAGAGAGGAGGAGAGACAGAGAGGAAGATCTTCCATATGATGGTTCACTCCCCAAGCAGCTGCAATGGCTGGAGCTGAGCCAATCCGAAGCCAGGAGCCTGGAGCTTCCTCTGGTTTTCCCACACAAGTGCAGGGTCCCAAGGCTTTGGGCAGTCCTTGACTGCATTCCCAGGTCACAAGCATGGAGCTGGATGGGAAGTGGAGCTGCCGGGATTAGAACCGGTGCCCATATGGGATCCTGGGGCATTCAAGGGCTAGGCCACCGTGCTGGGCCCATGACTTTCTTATTCTTAAATGAGTCAAAGAAGCCTCAAAGGATTGATAATTCTGACATCATCAAATTTGAGAAAATAGCAAAGGCTATCACAAAATGTAAGTAACACATGCCAATTTTTCCTTAAAACATATTTGGAGAGGTGACATGGCAGCCTAGTGGTTAAAGTCCTTGCTTTGCATGTGCCAGGATCCCATGTGGGCACCAGTTAGTATTCTGGCGGCCCTGCTTCCCATCTAGCTCCCTGCTTGTGGCCTGGGAAAGCAGTCGAAGACAGCCCAGAGCCTAGGGACCCTGTACCTGTGTGGGAGACCTGGAAGAGGCTCTTCGCTTCTGGCTTCAGAGTGGCTCAGCTCTGGGCATTGCAGCCATTTGGAGAGTGAATTAACAAACGGAAGACTTTCCTCTCTCTCTTTCTTCCTCTCTGTATATCTGACTTTCCAATAAAAATAAAATTAAAAAAAAATCTATATATATTTGTAGAAAACAATCATAATACATGAAATGCAGAATTGACACTCATTAAAGGAAAGGTAAATAGTCTAGACCCTCTTAGGTTACAAAGTCCACAGCCATGTGCTGCGTATAAGCGGGTATATTATTTGCTTGGAACCCACTCATCCTCCTGGAGGCTTTATGTCTTCTCTGGATTATTTATGACACTGAATGCAATGTGAGCGCTAGGGGAAGTTGTGGTAAGATTCAGAGAATAATGAGCAGAAAGGATGTCTGCGTGTGTTTAGTCAGGCGGTTGGTTGCACCTGCAGAACTGGGACCTGCAGGCAGGGAGGACTGGCTCCGTGCGACATCAGCAGCTCGTGGGGTTGGTATGACAGCATGTTTCGTTTTTTTACACACAAAGGCAATTTTACATGAACTAACAAGTTTACTGAAAAAACAGACAAACACAGTATGATGTTATTTAAGAAAAAGAAAACCTCCTAAAACTAGATGGCAAGGGAAAGGGCTCCGCTGGACACACCTCCTGTACACACCCAAGCAGGCAAAGGGGACCTGCCCTCTCCCTGCTTGGTGAGTTTTTAGATTGTATCACATTACTTGTCTAATAAAACAGGGGAGCCTTAATTGGATTTTCCCCCTTTCTACGCTACAGCAATCACTGTCGGGGCAAGTGGGAAGCTTGAACAAGTGCTATGTGTTAGAGAACATTACTGTGGTGTTCAGGGATGTTCTTTAGTTCTAGCAGTTCCTAGTGTTTGGGGAGAGAATGTCAAAAATCTACAACTTTTAAATGGAGAAAAGGAGAAGCACAACAAAGAAGGAAAAGAGAGGAAGAGGAGTACAAGAGAGGAGAGGGATTAGGAATGGGAGAGGAAGGAGGAAGATAGAAACAAAACAAATGTCAAGGCAAAACGGTAAGACAAGCATGTTAACCTATGGGAAAGGTCTAAGTGTGTTCGACGTGTTAACCTTCTGTTCCGCAGCCTTGAAAAAAAAAAATAACAACAGAAAAAAACCCCAGCGTCCTTCACCTGCTGGCTACTCATTGCCTCCCTCTGCAATCTCACACACAGCGCTAGTGATCACCTGGGGGGACCAGGGATCCTGAAGGCAAGAGGCATGCCGTAATCTCCTGCACCCTGCGTTCCGCTCAGTACAGGGCAGGGCACAGAAGGGAGCATGTAGGCTGACTCGGGCAAGATCTGGGCATGAGGTTGGCAGACAGAACGTCAGGGCCTGGAGCGTCAGTGCAGCATCACTTCCAAAAAGAGGCAAGGAGGGAGCCAGTACAGCTACCAAATGGAACCACAACTAGACACTGCTGCTAGAAACTGCCTGAGCAGTCTGCAGGCTAATGCCTTGTACACTACAAACTGCTCTAGTCATCTGCTGGGGTTTGAGCGTTCTCCAGAAGTTTACGTGTTACACACCCAGTTCCTCGATTGAGCAGCATTGGGGCCTGGTAAGGTGTCTGGGTCATGGGCCTTCATGAGAATATGAATGCATATCAGGAGTGAGCTCTTGCTCATTTGGGACTGGACTAGTTAGTGCAAGAGCAGGTTATCAGAGAGCAGGTCCAAGCCTCGTGCTCTCTGCCCACTGCCCACTTACCCTTCCACTTTCTCCTCTAAGTTGAAGCACAAGAAACTGGAACCTGCATCAAGTTCTTGGTTTTCCCAGCCTCTAGAACCAGGAGACATTAAATTGCTATTCTTTCAGAGTTATTCAGTCTTGGGCATTCTGTTACAGCAATAAAAAAAAGGGACTAAGACACACTCTTCTTCTATTGAGCTTTACTGTGACCGTGAAGTGGAAACAGGCCCAGAAGGGCAACAACTCCAAAGTACGTCTTACGGCTGCAATGCCCTCTTCTCTGATTCCTAACCAAGCAGGACAAAGACTTACCTGATTCAGTCTTGGTCTGGGCTACATCTCCCCACACTGTGATATCACCACAGGCAGCTTGGGTTTGTTATTAGGGCCTGTGGGAACATTCTGGAAAGAGAACACAGTAGATATTTATCCACTTGGTGACTTCTTCACTCCTTCACTGTGAACCAATTCTGATGTCTCCAGCTCCTAGGCTAATGACCAAAGACTCAGAGACTGATACTGGGACAATCTACATCCTAGCAGACAGGGAAGGTGTATGACACAGTTCAAGGAGAAATGGAAAGCACTTGGAAAAATGTCAAACCTATGATACACAGCAATGTAAGACACAACAGAGTTGGATAAGCAGAGACAGAGCAACTAAACTGCTGCTTAAAGCAATGGCGGGGGGAGTGCGGCTGGCCTAGCAGTTGAAGACACCTTGACCATATCAGAGTAGTAGCTGGCTTCCAATCTCAGCTCCGCTGAGGCTTCCGGCTAACACATATCCTGGGAAACAGCAGGTTGTGGCTTAAGCACTTGGGCCGCTGTCACCCACATGGAGATCTGAACTGAGTTCCTGGCTCAGCTCCAGCTAGTGCAGGCATTTTCAGAGTAAACCAGGAGAAAAAAGGAAGAAAAAGGAGAGAAAGAGCAAAACAAAAAAAAGATATAAGAAAAAGAAAGAAACAGCCAAAAAGTAAATGAATGGAAAATAAGAAGTATAAAAAGAAACGTTTGTCAGAGAAAACTTGACTTGGGCCTGGATGGACGAACGGGGTACCAGCAATGGGGAGGGAAAGGCCAGCCTATTGGGTGGAGGAGACAGCAGGGCAAGGGCTTGGGCAGAGATGTGGCATCCCAGGAGAACAGCCAGGTGCCTGCCATGCTCACTGAGCAAGGAGAGATGGGCAGGGATGAGGAGTAGCACCCTATCAGTAGGAGGGCAGGTGGCCAGGGGCCAACCCTCAGTGTGGGAGCTCACCTACAGGTCCAGGGCACTTCGTGAGGAGGGTACTCCCTCTCTTTTCCCAAGAGAGCCCAAGGACTAGAGGCAGTGTGGATTCTGCCCCTTTGCGCTTCCCTAGTCCGTGGGAACCAGATTGAAAGTGCTGAGAAAGAGAGCAAGGTCGGACTCACCTCAATTTTTCTCATCACCAGAAGACCATCGATGATTTTTCCTGTAGGAAGAGTACCAGCTGGACTTAACGCTCTTGTTCACGTAGCATTTGTAAATTTCCAAAGCACGTTCTTAAGATATTATCTTACTAAGCCTTTTACTAAATTTGAAAAATTTAGGGGCTAGTGTTGTGACATATCAGGTAAAGCCATGGCCTGCGATGCTGACATCTCACAGGGTGCTGGCTTGTGGCCCAGATGCTTCAGTTTTGATTTAGCTCCCTGATAATATCCTGGGAAGAGCAGTGGAGGATGGCCCAACTGTCGGGCCCCTGTCATGTCAGTAGGAGACCTGGATGAGGCTCCGGGCTCCTGGCTCTGGCCTGGCCCAGTGCTGGCCACTGTAGCCATCTAGGAAGTCAATCAGTAGATGGAAAGATCTTTCTGACTTTCCTGCTCTCTCTGCAAATTTTTCAAATAAAATAGAAATCTTAGAAAAAAAGAAAATCGAGGGCCCAACAGCATGGCCTAGTGGCTGAAGTCCTCGCCTTGAAAACGCCAGGATGCCATTTGGGCACCAGTTCTAATCCCAGCAGCTCCACTTCCCATCCAGCTCCCTGCTTGTGGCCTGGGAAAGCAGTCAAGGATGGCCCAATGCTTTGGGTTCCTGCACCTGTGTGGGAGACCTGAAGGAAGTTCCTGGCTCCTGGCTTCGGATTGGCACAGCACTGGCTTGTGGTCACTTGGGGAGTAAATAATCGGATGGAAGATCTTCCTCTCTGTCTCTCCTCCTCTCTGTATATCTGACTTTGTAATAAAAATAAACAAAATCTTTAAAGAAAAAAAAAATCAAGATTCATCGGAGACAAAATGATTGGCCTAGGGTCACAGGTAAGAAGTGGCAAAGTTGGGCCTGGTGCTGCAGCCTAGCAGCTAAAGTCCTTGCCATACAAGCACCAGGATCCCTTATGGATGCCGGTCCTAGTTTTGGCAGCCCCGCTTCCCATCCAGCTCCTTGCTTGTGGGCTGGGAATGCAGTCAAGGATAGCCCAAAGCCTTGCAACCCTGCACCCACGTGGCAGACCTGGAAGAGGTTTCTGGCTTTGGATTGGTGCAGCTCCGGCCATTGTGGCCACCTGGGGAGTGAATCATTGGATGGAAGATCTTCCTTTCTGTATATCTGCCTTTCCAATAAAAATAAATAAATCTTAAAAAAAAAAAAAAAAAAAAGGTGGTTGAGATCTGAACAATCCCAAAGCCTCACTGTAGCTGCTGCCTCTCCAGCATTTCTTTAGTTTGAGCACCTGGGTCTTTCCTTTTAGAAAACATACTGCCCAGGTTGTCTTGCATCACATCAGCTCCCCCTTTCTGCCCTTCCTTCTAGTCCTCTTAGCACACATCTTCCCCGCCACCACCTTCCACCTGGCCTCTACTACCTGCAGCAATTCTACCCGCTGAGCGTTCTTGGTCAGTGTTGGGCCTGGCTCCCCATCAAGTTCCCTCTTGCGCAAGGGGAGCCTAGCTAATGGGACAGGAGCAGAACTTACCAAACACCACATGCTTCCCATCCAGCCAATCACACTTCGAGCAGGTGATAAAGAACTGACAGCCGTTTGTACTGGGACCGCTGTTTGCCTGATGGAAACCAAATATGTTTGCAGTGAGTCTCTGTGGTCACATTTACTGAGAGGTAAGGTTCCCAGCCCTGGTCCCGCCATGTTTCCTTTTAGTAAACTGAGCAGCTATCAGGAGGCACAGCCTAGGCTAGCATCCAAAAGTACAGAGATGGGGGCTGTGACACCAGCATCCCACATGAGTGCTGGTTTGAGCTTGGGTTCCCACTTTCAACCCAGCACCTTGCTAATGTACCTGGGAAAGCAGTGGAAGATGGCCCAAGTGCTTGGGACCCTGTACCCACACGGGAGACCTGGAAGAAGCTCCTGGTCCAGCTCAGGCATTGCAGCCATCTGAGGAGTGAATAGATTTCTCTCATTCCCCATAAGTCTGCCTTTCACATAAATACATCTTAAAAAACCAACCAACCAACCAAAAAAACCCCAGAACAAAAATAGTTAATCTTTTTTTTCTTGCTCATTTTACGCTTTTAAGATTTAAAAAATTAAAAAAAAAATGTTTTTTAAAGGCAAAGTTATAGAGAGACTTCCACTCACTGACTCGCTCCTGAACTGGCTTCAATGAAGCTAGGAGCTTCTTCTGGTCACCTGAGTCACCTGCTGCTGCCTTCCCAGACATATTAGCAGGGCTCTGGATCAAAAGTGGAGCAGTAGGGACTTCCACTGGTGCCCATGTGAGATGCTGGCACTGCAGGTGGCAGCTTAATGCACTACGCCACCCTGCTTGCCCCAAATACCATATTTAATCAGATTTGCTTTGTAGTTATTCATATGTAAAGCCACATCCAATGTATTATTGAAATTCACAGGAAAACCAAGGCACACAGCAAACCAAGGCTGGAATTCAGCAGCACTGCCTTTTAAAACACTCTATTTAATCTTGTGAATGTTTTATTGCACATTTCCTTTATTTTGGAAAAAAATGATTAAGAAAAACTGAAACTGATACCACTGAAGGAAAGACAGATCCCATAACTGGCAGTTTTATTAGAGGCTTTTATTCAGATCTTTAATGGACTGAAATTGATCGAATCTGTTCAACTGTGAAGAGAAATACTGGCAATGCATTAAAGAGTGTTTAGAGGTGACCTCTGGTTAAGGAGTTTACATCACACTTCACAAATCCCCCACCTAAAATGGGGGCTGCTCTGCAGTTTTGTGCAGGTATTCAAGAACTTTCCGTATGAAAGAAAAGCAGACTGCCTGAATAGGCCACAATGGTCCCACACTTTGGAATGTGGGACTGAATTCCTAGGGACTACAGTCATCTTTTCTTGTTTCTTTTTGCTGCTTATGTGTAATCACTTATTCTCAAGCAGGTGCAGAAAGTCATACACATTGGTATGGCTCAAGGACACGCTCTGCCTGTAGGCGCTCATTTACCCATTCTTGGGGTAGTGTGGCTCCTGTTTACAGCCTACGGCCTGCACCCAGACGACCGGGCTTGACCCCGTTCAGGCACGCAACCTCTGTGCTTCATGTTCCTCGTGTGCACCCTCCAGTGGATGTGAAGAGCATTCAGATGAATTAATGCACACAAACCACTTGTGGGGCACATCTTCTGCAGCGCTAGCCTCTGTTCGATCACCAGCCATTGATCAACGTCTGCTCAGAAGCCTTTCCAGGTTAGGTAGTAAGGTCTGGAGGTGAATGGTAGCCAGCTCTTGCTGCTGACAAATTCATGACCTAGTAGTAGATGGCAGCAAAAACAGCCACCTGTGCTGTGGGATGCGCAACTGCACAGTATCAGGACATCCCAGCACATCCCAGGACCTCCCCTCACAACTCCTTCAGGGATGGCGGCCCCTCCCTTCCCGATTTTTTCAGGGGTCGTGGTGCAGTGTGCAAGGAGAGGGTTCAGGTCCTCACCCTGTACTTGCCTGGGTGGCTTTACTCCGACAGGGCTTGTATACTGGCTGCTGCACCAGTCTCTGTTCCGGGTGTGGCAGCCTCCTACATGGCTTCCTGGCCCCAGGCTCACTAGCCCCATCTGGTCCTCACCCTGCAGCAGGACTCTTACTCTGAAACTCGGAGCTGGAGAGGAGGGCGTTTGATCTAGCAGTTCAGACACCACATGAGATACTCATATCCCAAATCAGAATGTCTCCACCCCCGTCAGCTTCCCGATACTGTGCACCCAGCTTCCTGATATTGTGATGGTCTGGGTGCTGAAGGATCCTGCTACCTGTGCAGCCTGAAAATAAAAACTTAAATGCAGTTTTTGGAACTGGTGCACAGCAGTTGAAATGCCTCTTGGGACACCTGTCTCATATGGGAGTGCCTGGCTTTGAGTCCCAGGCAGCTCCTGGTTCTACCTTCCTGCAGATGGACACCGAGAGGTAACAGGAGGTGGCTCAGGTACAGGGTACTGTCACTCATGAGGGAGACTGAGTTCCCGGTTCTTGGCTTCAGCCTGAGCTAGACAAAGTTGTTGTCTGAGGAGTAAACCAGAAGATGGAAGATACTTCTCTCTGTAATGTAATGATAAATATGTTCTTCAATCTCACGATAATGAAAATGTACTGTTTTTCTCCATGTCGTGGTCTGTGTTTACTGGCTCTGTTATTTAAAGGGATGTATAATACAAGTGTAGCAGAGACTGACATGTTCAGATGTGGAGACATAGTGTAGTATATTTCTATGCATCTAGACCAAAGATGGACTCCCAATGAAATAGCTGAAAATATCCCAGGGCCTAGCACCGTGGCCTAGCGGCTAAAGTCCTTGACTTAAAAACGCCAGGATGCCATATGGGCACCGGTTCTAATCTCGGCAGTTCTGCTTCCCATCCAGCTCCCTGCTGGTGGCCTGGGAAAGCAGTTGAGGACAGCCCAAAGCCTTGGGACCCTGTATCTGTGTGAGAGACCCAGATGAAGTTCCTGGCTCCTGGCTTTGGATCAGCGCAGCACCGGCTGTTGCGGTCATTTGGGGTGTGAATCATCGGATGGAAGATCTTCCTCTCTGTCTCTCCTCCTCTCTGTATATCTGACTTTGCAATACAAATTTAAAAATCTTTAAAAAAAAAAAAAAAGAAAAATATCCTGACAGTAGGATACTGGACTCTCCAACACTGACCATGCCTACAATGTCAGGAAACACTTCAATAGCAGCATGATGGACTTATGGCTGCTCATGAAGGACACCTATTGTAATACCAGAGGGGAAATCAATGGATGGGGAGGGAACTTGAGGAGGAAGATGGAAAATCCCAGATTCTATGAAACTGTATCATAAAACAATAATAAAAAATTACGATAAATAGTAAAATAGATAAATTAAATTTTAAATCAAAGCCCTTCAGGATCTGTTCCCACGTGCCTATGCAGTTGTCGCTACCCTTAGCCATTTTCTGTACCTTCAATATGCCACCCTGCTTTAGGGCCACAATTCTTTGCATGGTCTGTGTGCAAGACTAGAAATGCTCTGCTTTTGCATGCTACCTGGTAAACATCCCTTTAATAGCTCAAATGTCCCTTCCTTTGTCACGGCTTCTGCACTCCCAGTCTTTTGGGCCCTTGCGGTCCTTTTCCAGCCCGAGGCACAGGTCACACCATGCTGGCCAGGCCCCGTGGCACATGTCCCCTATGAACGCACAGGATTACGAGCACAGGGATCAGGTCTATACCTGAAATGGTGTGACCGTGAGCCGATCTTCACCCACAAAATGCCTATGTGTATGAGTGGACAAGGACAGAGAAGAGCTACGGTGTGAGCAAGGGCGGCAGAAGCAAGAGCAAGCCTATGCGAGAGCAGGGAGCGGTGAGGCAGATGAGGGATGTGAGTGGGTAGGAGGGGAGCTGGAAAGGGGAGTGACATGTCAAATGGAACAGGACTGGAGAGAAGGAATGGCAGGCAGCAAGGCCTGACCTGGGAAAAGGCAAAGCAGTGCCTGGGCAGTGGGGGAACAGGGGCCACGCACCCCAATGAATAGTGATGATCCCCATGTCTGGAAGGTGCAACTGGGCAGCAGGTGAATGCCTGGCTACACATGCTAGGTCAAACAGAGGTTAAGAAAACACTCGCCGAACTCAGCTTTGGTTCCCCAATCTGCTAGTGGGCCTTGTCCAACAAAATCAAACCAGACAGAAGGAGGCAGGGTGTTAGAGCCTGAGGCCTGGGCCAAGCAGGAGAAGGAAGTACTTCCTTCCATCCGGAGCTTGGGGCCTCCAGACAAACCAGCTGGTTATAAATCTAACAGTACCCCTGGACCTCACTTACCATGGAGAGCAGGCCTGGCGCTGAGTGTCTAAGCTTGAAGTTTTCATCTGCAAACGGCCCCCGATAAATACTGGCAACACCAGTACCATCTCCCTGAGTTAAAAGAAGGGAAATGTTAGCAACACAGAGCATCGGGCATCCTAGAAATGAGATGAAAGGGACAGATGATGGGTCCAGCAGTTAAAATGTTGTCTGGGACACCCACATCCCACATCAGAATTCCTGGGTTTGAGTCTCAGCTCCATTCCCAGTGCCAGTTCCCTGCTCAAGTACACCCTGGGAGGCAGTGGATGATGGCTCGAGTAGCTGCGTTCCTGCTACCCATGAGACACAGATTTGAGTCCCTGGCTCTGGACTCCAACCTGGCCCAGTCCTGGCTGTTACAGGCATTTGGTGAATCAACTGGCAGAAGAAATCCATCCCCGTCTCTCTCATGTGTATGTGTGCCTGTGTCTGTGTGTCTCTGCCTTTCAAATACGTGAGTTTTTTTTTTAAGAAAATCATGCTTAGCCCATTCACTGGCCTCTTCTAGTAAATACAGTAAAGTGTCCCTCTAGAACTATCTATGTCATTCCATTTGCTTGCCTACTCAACTTCTGATGAAAACTCTAGCTTTCCAGGCCTTGCGACAACAGAAGGACAGACAGGATGTAAGTGCCTAGCTCACTCAAAGAGGCTTTCCTCCTCCATTCATAACAAGCAAATTGTAGTTGCATTCTAACAGCTCCCGAGGGTCCCCCCATGGATCATCTGGCAGTACACTGGGAGAGTCCGGCCTGTGGCCCCAAAAGGTGCAGGTGTGGACTCCATCCAAGAGCTGTCACTGTGCAGGGAGCAGCAGCCAACCACTTTAAAGGACATCCCCATAACCATCCTCTTCCTCTACCCTCATCGATCCTGACCACTGTTCTCAAGTGCAAGCCTGGGTCTCCACAGTCAAAACAGAAGCAGCAATTAACAACAACAAACTAACTCCCCAGGGTTGACAGGGAAGGAATAACACTTACATTAACAAAGTCTCCACCCTGAATCATGAAATCCTTTATGACCCTGAAACAGAGAGCAAAGGATCCTGAAAAAGGATTCCATGAAAAACACTTACCCGGTCATTGTAATGTTAACTTTAAAGTACAACATTTGGGCCCGGCGCTATGGCACAGTGGTTAAGGTCCTCGCCTTGCACACCCGGGATCCCATATGGGCGCTGGTTCTAATCCCGGCAGCCCCGCTTCCCATCCAGCTCCCTGCCTGTGGCCCAGGAAAGCAGTCGAGGATGGCCCAAAGCTTTGGGACCCTGCACCCGCGTGGGAGACCCGGAAGAGGCTCCTGGCTTTGGATCGGTATAGCATCAACCGTTGCGCTCACTTGGGCAGTGAATCATTGGAGGGAAGATCTTCCTCCCTGTCTCTCCTCCTCTCTGTATATCTGACTTTCCAATAAAAAAAATAAATCTTTAAAAAAAAAAAAAGTACAACGTTTAACACTTTCACTTACCAATTATTATTCTTTTTGGAATGAGTGGGCTGAAAGGATGACTAACCATAAAACACAGTTTTAGTTATAAATAAGAGCATCTTATGGAACTCGGCTTTAATACCCATTGACATGTACTAGAGCCAAATGGAATGTGGGACAGACTGGACTGGTCTGCTACACATACTGGCGTGGCAAACCAGGGCGGAGGTGGGCCTACCGGGGATTATTGTGGGTTGCTCTGACTAGGCTGCAGCTCCCACTGGTTTATGTGAGGGCCGAGTATGTGCTAGGCAGAATCAGGCTGGACTGCAACACCCATTGGTTCCAGTTGGAAGTCGGGGTTGAGAACAGATCCAACCCAGCAATTGCAACCACCAGCTGATTAGGGCGATGGACTGTGCTGGGCCCTGTTCTTGCTAGTACATACAAGAATCTGGTCTGGGAACACCTCAGACACAGTTTCTTTGGGGATCTCCCCAATTGAAATGCCGGATTCAAACCTTAACCAAGAAAAGAGAGAAGACAGAACAAGTCAATCAACCACCTCAGCTATTTGTTGGCAGTGAAATACTGGGCAAACGGAGGCTCTAAGATGGACTATGTCAATCAGTGGATTCTTCAACAATTTCATTGTGCTTGGATTGTCAAGATTGCCAGCGATTAATAACTGGTGAACTATCAAAACCACTTGAGCAAGAATCTCAGAGCATGCCCCACATCTGGGATCTGGGGTGGGTGGGAAACTGGGTGGGGCTTCTCCCTCAATATCCCCTTTTACCTCAGATACATGAAGGAAACAATGTGGAAACAACAGTCTTACCCACTTTCCTACAGCCCTTGAACCTTTTTATCCTAATTAACTATGGAGTTGATCTAAGTGTGTAATCTGGTACTTGCACAGTAACAGTGAAAATCCTGCAGGAAAAGTTAAGAAAAATTCACCAAAGCAAAAGGCATGTTAAGGACTCAATGTTAGCTTTTGGGATAGGAACAGCAGAGAATGTATATAGGATGGAGAGCTACAGGGCCCAGTGCAATTGCTCAACTGGCTAATCTTCCACCTCCAACTGCAGGATCCCTATATGGTGCCAACTTGTGTTCCAACAGCTCCGCTTCCCATTCAGCTCCCTGCTTTATGGTGTGGAAAAGCAGTAAAGAATGGCCCAAATCTTTGGTGCCCTATTCCCATGTGGGAGACCCAGAAGCTTCTGGCTCCTGGCTTTGGATCAGCTGAGCTCTAGCCATTGTGGCCAGTTGGGGAGTGAACCAGCAGGTGAAAGACCTTCCTCTCTGTATCTCCTTCTCTCTGCAAATCTGCAGTTCCAATAAAAGTAAATCTTAAAAAAAAAAAAAAAAAAAAAAAAAAAAGAATGGCGATGGCCCGCTACACAGAGGGTTAATGTGGGTTGCTAGTGCTCTTGGGCAGGATCCTCAACTTTTCTCAACCTCAGCTTCCTCCTCTGCAACAGAAAATAAAACATGTTGCCAGAGGTTAGGTACCATACATGCACATGCATGTAAAGGCTGTTAACTCTTACAACAATAAAAACATAAAGCTGGGAGGTTATGCAGAAGGGGTTCCTGCTCACCACTGCCAGCTGACAGTAATTACCACAAAAAGACTGCCGGAATTGCAACCATCCACAAAGGGCCACCACAGCCTTACACAAAAGCCACTTTCCTTGTCTAAGATTTATTTTTCTTTATTTGTAAGAGGGATTTACAGAGAAGAGACACACAGAGAAAGATCTTCCATCCACTGGTTTATTCCCCAAACGGCTGCAATGGCCAGAGCTGAGCTAATTTAAAGCCAGGGGCTTCTTCTGGGTCTCCCATGTGGTGCAGGGCCCACGGACTTGGGCCATCCTTTGCTGCTTCCCAGGCCATAGGCAGAGAGCTGAATCAGAAATGGAGCAGCCAGGATACGAGCTGGTACCCACATGGGATGTCAGTGCTTGTAGGTAGAGGATTAGCCAGCCTGTTGAGCTATAGTGCCACCCCAAAAAACACTTCTGTGAGGACATGTGTTCGGCAACTTCTAGTCAGCCTTAGATGGGTGCCGCTGCTGTGTTAATCCTTGTAGCCAAGTGCTTTAAAAGAGCTTACGTAGAGGCAACAATGTGACACAGCCACATCAGCCATCACCTGTGGCACCACCATCCTGTGTGAGCACGGTCACTCCAATTCCAATTCAGCTCCAATAATGTGTCTGGGAATGCAAAGATGATGGTTCAAATACTAGGGCCCCTATGGTCCACACTGTGGGCTGGACTCCCAGCTTTGCTCTGGGCCAGCCCTAGCTGTTGCAGTCATATGGAGAATAAATCAGTGGATGAAAGATCTCTATCCCTCTGTCTACCTTTTTTGTCAGCTTACCTTCAAATAAATTAAAAAAAAAAAAACCAGAAAAATTAGGGTCTAGCATTATGGTGGTACACGTTAAACTACCACCCGCCCCACTAACATTCCCTACAGGTACTGGTTCAGCTCCCAGCTGCTCTTCTTCCCATCCAGCTCCCTGCTCCCTTGGGAAAGCAGTGGAAGATGGTCCAAGTACTTGGGTCCTTGCTACTTGTGTGGGACATCCAGATGAAGTTCCAGATTCCTGGCTGGCTTCAATCTGGCCCAGTCCTGGCCATTGTAACCATTTGAGGAGTGACCAGTGAATGAAAGATCTCCCTCTCTGTAACTGCCTTCCAAATGAACAAGCAAACCTTTAAACTCTGTATTCACACAAACAACGGCATAAAATTGACAGGATAGTGGTAGTGGAAGGATGCAGTTTCTGTGTTTAACACATAAAATGAGTCAGTGGGAGACTAAATCCTTAAGTTGTTGAGGGCATGAAAGCAGTTCTTCTCAAGATCTAAGAATTGGGCTGACTTAATTTTCTTTAACATTCCTAATCTGGAGGGCACATGTTTAGTTTTGTGTTTAAAACACTCCTGGGGACATCCATAGCCCACATCGGAGTGTCTGGCTTGCTCCCACTTAGAGCTTCCCGCCCATGCACACCCTGGAAAGCAGTGAGTGGTGGCTCACGTCACTGGGTCCTGCCATCCACACAGGAGAGATACACTGAGTTTCTGGATTCCAGCCTCAGCCTGGCCCAGCTTTGGCTGTTGTCTGCATCTCGGTGGCGATGAAGGTGGAAGGTGCTGAGGCAGCAGATGAAAGCTAATTCTCAGCCTCTTAAAAATGTAAATAAAAATCCTAATCCCTTAACAAAGTACAACCAGTCCTCTATATCCACAGATTCTACAGCCAATGAATTCAAGCACACTGAGATGAAACATCTTGGGGAGGAAAAAAAACCTGTACCTGAATATGTAGAGGGTTTTTTTCCTTGTCATTTTCCCCCCAATAAAGCAGTATGTCTTACTAGGTAGCAGGAGTGTGTTAGAGATGACCTAAAGTATGTGGGAGGACTATGTGGGTTACATGTAAAAACAAGGGTACATGAAAAAGATATCAGAAAGGGAAGCCAAAGAAAATTTGGGTGCAAAATTTTGTACATACACAGTAAATGAGTACTTTGCAACTTATGGAAGGGACCAGGCATCCCTGGATTTCGGTATCTGAGCAGAATCCTAGGACCAGTCTTCATCCTTACCTGTGGAAGGTGCTCCCCTTGTATCCAATGGGAACCCCATCTTTTCTAGAACCAGAAAGAAAGAGACTTTGAATAATGACAAGTTAACAGAGGCCTTTCCAATTCAAGACTGCAGCCCAAGGGGCTCGCCTACAGGTGGCTGGGAGAGGGGATATGAGGCAACTCCACCACCTGCAGCCACTCAAGACCTGCCTGTGGCTTTGCAGCACAGTGCAGCCCCAGGACAGCCCTGGGAGCAGGCACGCAAGTCCAACACTGACCTGAATTCTCCAGTGCAGAACTGCCTGAAAGGAAAGAAGGAATCATTTAGCCACCCTGGTGCTACAGAACGCCTCCTCCCACCGGACACCAGCCAGTTCCCCACAAAAGACGACACGGAACAATCCCAGACTCTAAATAACGCAAGGACCTGGATCTCCAGGGTCCTGAGTGGACGGACCTGCAGACACACGGGCTGCCTACGGGCTTGGGATGGGCGACGAGGGAAGGTGGGTGCAGCTCCTTACCTAAAGTTCTCGGCCGTCTTGGGCACAACATCCGCAAAGAGCTCGATCTTCATGCGACCAACCTCCTGCAGCAGGAGGTAGACGGTCAGGAGGCTGAGTCCGAGGCAGGCAAGGGCTCCGGGGCCGGCAGGTGGTCCCGCCGCCCCCAGATCCAGCTCCCTCGTCCAGCCCTTGGCGCCCACCCCATGCCTCGAGCAGCAGGGCGCTGCGACGCCCTCCCGGCAGCAGGTCGGTGGTCTACATGCCTGCCCGCGCCCGCTCTCCCAGGAGCCGGTGGGTTCTGCCTAAGCCCGCTCAGCTTCCCTTCCGCGTAGGTCTGAGTGGTCGCCTGGATCTCACCTGGCCGCCGATACTGACATCAAAAAACACCACGGGGTTGACAGGACTTGAATTTGCCACCGCCATGGCTGCGATCCGGAAGCACAAGTCGGGGAGCTGGGGCTTCCGGCCAGCTAAGCTCAGCCCCCTTGGAGGTTAGTCGGCGACGCAGGCGCAGAGGGGCAGACTGGCTTCCGGGACGGGAGCTGTGGGAGGGGCAGCTCCCCAGGTTGTGAGGGGGAGGAAAGTAGGGTTCTTTTTCTCCTCGAGGTCAGCGGGACTCCCTTACCCCCTGCTCGCAGGACTGTACTAGTACAGAGCAAGGTCTAGGGTCTTTGTAGTGGGCCGCCTGCAGGTTCGCCATCAGTAGTTGGAGCTAAGACTCCTGAGCCAGCGCCTACACAGGCAGGTGAGACCGTGAGGGCGGCCTGTCAGACATCCTCAGTCAGGTCTTACCCTTCCTTCAGGTCAGCACATTCGAATTTTAGCTCAGAGACCACTTCCCACAGAGTAGGTGGAACATTTTTTTTTTTAAAAGAATTCGTGAGTGTATAAGTCAATCCTGACTTCCCATATTTAGAACAAAATCCGTTTTCTTTTCATAGGAAACCCTGTACGCTGGCTGCCACCTGCCTGGCCTCACTTGGCACCCCTCGCTCTCAGTCCCGGTGTGTTGACCCCTGTCACTTGGGGGTCACTCCTGTCTTCGCGGCCTTGGTAGAGTACCTTGCTTGATGGAGGTCCTGGAGGCAGGGAATGTGCCTTGTACAAAATTCAGAGCTCAGCCTGACAACCCCTCCACGGAGACAAGAGATGACTTGTACCGCACCTAAAGCAGCCCTTATCCACCAAAATCCCGTTTTCTTTAGACCACTCAAAATTAGCTTCATACTACCTCTCTCCACACCTTAATTCCCTCCTCCCAGGCAGCACCACATTCCAGGGAAGTAGAGTCTGCTGCTTTGTTCAGAGCTGGAGTCACAGTGCCTATCCTTGCATGGCACTTAGCAGGTGATCAGCCAGTACATCTGCTGTGTTGAGTGCATTGGGCAAGGTTCAGACTCAGAGCGTGCACATCTATTATTGTGTTTATATCCTTTTATCATCATTTCTAGTTCTGTGAGAAAATACGTGTAGCACATAAAAATTTAGTGTGTTTTAACTTAAGGGATGTTTGTGTTTCTGATTACCCTCCCCCCCCCCCTTAATCTCCCTGTCCACGTCTAAGCAAATAAAGAGGGAGGGGCCGGCACTGTGGCATTACGGGTAAAGCTGCTGCCTGCCACGCTGACATCCCCTACAGGCACAGGTTGGAGTCCCAGCTGCTCCACTTCCCATTCAGCTCCCAGCTAATGGCCTGGGGAAAACATCTGTGCTTGGGTCCCTGCCACTTGCATGGGAGGCCTGGAAGGAGCTCCTGCTTCTAGCCTGGTCTGGCCTTGGCTGTTGTAGCTGTGAACCAGCAGATGGAAGATTCTGTGACTTTTAAATAAATAAATAAATGTTTACAAAAAAAAATAAGAGAAGGAAATGAGAGGACAAGTAAGCAAAAAGAGCAGTAACATTCATCCTTCAGTATGGTTTTATACTAATCAGTTAAAAAACTCTTATTTTTATTGGAAAGGCAGAGAGACAGAGAGAGACCAAAAGATCCATCTGCTGGTCCACTCCCCAAGTGGCCACATTGGCTAGAGCTGAGCTGATCTGCAGCCAGGAGCTAGGACCTTCTTCTGGGTCTCACACATGTGTGCAGGGTCCCAAGGTTTTGGGTCATCCTCCACTGCTTTCCCAGGGTACAGGTAGGGGGCTGGATAGGAAGTTTGGCATCCAAGATTAGAACCTGCACAATTATGGGATCCCAGTGCATGAAAGGCCAGGACTTTAGCCACTAGGCTACCATCCTGGGCCCACTAATCATTTTTAAATAAACATTTTAATTGGTAACTTTTCAATTTGCTGAAGTTGTGCAAAAACTAGTACACTCAAAACTGCTAGTGGAATGTGTGATGACACATAGCCCTTATTAAGCAGTTGCTAAGTGCTACATACTTTAATGGTCTTCATAATGCTGTGGAAATAGGAACCAGTGTTGATTCCATTTCTTTTTTTTTTTTTTTTTTAAGATTTATTTTGATTGGAAAGGCAGATATACAGAGAGGAGGAGTGACAGAGAGGAAGATCTTCCCTCCAATGATTCACTCCCCAGGTGGCCGTGACAGCTGGAGCTGAGCCAATCCAAAGCCAGGCGCTTCTTCCGGGTCTCCCACACGGGTGCAGGGTCCCAAGGCTTTGGGCCGTCCTTGACTGCTTTCCCAGGGTCACAGGCAGGGAGCTGGATGGGAAACGGGGCTGCCGGGACTAGAACCGGCGCCCATATGGGATCCTGGCGCATGCAAGGCGAGGACCTTAACCACTGCGCCATCACGCTGGGCCCGTTGATTCCATTTCAAGGAGCAAGTGAGACTGAACAAGACTGAGCAACCTGACTGGAAACATGTACCAGAGTCATATCAATACTTAGATCTTTTTGAGGCAAGTTGGCCAATTTTGCAAATTTCTTTTGGGACTTTTTCTAGAGAAGAAAAAAAAAAGCTATTTGCACCAAAACCTTCAAAACATTCCTTTACATGGTGGAACAAAATGTACAATATGATGATAACTATTTGAACACATTTATTTGAATGAAGACCAGAGGAGAATAACTCCAAAATCAAAGTAGCTCTGTTTAGAATGTCAGGTTGGGGCAGGCGTGTGGCCTAGTGCTGAAAGACGACACTGGAGACATCTGCACCTCGTAGCACAGTGCCGGCCTGTGTCTGCGTGGGCTCTTGATTGCAGCTTCCCGCTCACACACACCCTAGGAGACGGTGGTGATGGCTCAAGTGCTTGACTCCCTGCCTCCTCAGTCAGAAATGCAGGCTGAGCTCCGGGCTCCAGGTTTTGTTTTGGCCTCCTCCATCCCCGGCTGTTGTAGTTATTTGGGTGGTGAGCTAGAGGATGGGGGCTTTTGCTGTCTGTCTGTCTGTCTCTCTCTGTGTCTCCAAAGATAAGTTACCTTTGGTAAAGTAAATAATATACCTATAAATTTAAAAGTCAGAGAGAGACAGACTCCCCTGGTGCCTATAACAGTCAAAGCCAGGCCAGGCTTTAAAAGCCAAGTAGATGCATACTAGGGATCTTTTGCTGCCTTCCCAGTCACAGCAAGCAGGGAACTGGATCCGAAGCAGAGTAACCAATACTCACTTGAATGGGCATTCTTGTGTGGGATGCAGCTGTCACAAGCAGCAGCTTACTGGACTGCACCACAATGCTGCCTCCTGTTTTGACTTTCAAGTAGTAGTAACGGGGATGGTGTTGCAGTACAGTGAGTTAAGCTGCAGCCTGCTACAATGGCATGTCATGTAAGTGCTGGCAGATCCAGTTCAAGTCCAGTTCCCTGCTAATGTTCCTGGGAAAGCAGCATAAGATGGCCCAGGTACTTGAGCTCCTGCCACCCACCCATGTGGGAGAATTGAATAAAGCCCCTGGCTTGTGACTTCAGCCCCACCAGCCCTGGTCCTTGTGGTCATTTGGGGAATGAACTAGCAGACAGAAGATCTCTCTTTTGCTCTCCCCCTCTATCTCTAATTCTGCCTTCCACATGAAAGTAAATGATTTATTTTAAGTGATCAACTAAGAATACTGTGATAATGGGAGGAGTGTTAAATTAACCACACATGTGCTGTACTGAAGGCAAAAACCACTGAGCTCTTAAGTCTGTCTTAATATTGATGAATGCAGGACCTTTGAGGATATTAAACAAACAAGAAAACCATTTTTCTGAAGTGGTTTAATGAACATACTCATAGTCTTGGAAGACTTTTGGTTGATGTCCAGTGGGGCTGTGTGGTGATCCTGTACGCCGTAGTGCACCTCGGCAGGTGTGGTCAGTGTAGCGTTCGACACCTGTGAGGTTATAGTCCTGAGCTGTGTTCTTGTTCTGGCAGGCTGTGTGTCTGTTTCAGAGAACCGACAGTTGTGTGTCCTGCTTTGGAATTCTTCAAACGTGAAGGAGACTCGGGCGACTCTGGGACTGCCATTACTGCTTGTAACATGCGATCTTCCGTCTCTTGAGGACTTCCGATTCCCAAACCACCCGTTCCTAGAAAACTAAGAAAGGCCATGTATAAGGACACTGTGGGGACAGGATTCTTGGTGGCAGTTTGGGATGCAAGGATACTGCAATAGGATTTCAGGTGTTTTGTTTCTTTTTTTTTTTTTTTTTACAACTGTCAAATACAAAGATAACCAAGTGAAATTTACCTTGAACCCATGTTCATGAATTAACTCCTATCTTATGTCAGGATTCCATGAGGTGTAAGAATGAAGGTGAGGAGGGGAGAAGGAATTGGAGGAACATTCAAATAAAAATGTGGGGGGAAAATCACTTCAAAACATTAGGCTTTCTCGAGCTGGTGGCTCAGACCTGCTTAGCAGCAATGACCCTCAGGAATGCAGATGGCTGTCTTGATTTTACTAACCTGGAGTTTGGTAAAGGCAGTATTTTGCTCAGTAGTTCAAGTTCAGGGATTTCTGTTTCCTGGAAGGAAAGGAGAGATGACTTAAAACACATGTGATAAACCATTGGCAGTGTGTCCCTAGAGCTTTTGCTCATATACGTTTTTTTTTTTTAATTTGGTGAACTTTTTAAACTTTAAAACCAAGATTTATTTGTTTTTATTGGAAAGTCAGATATACAGAGAGGAGGAGAGACAGAGAGGAAGATCTTCCGTCCGATGATTCACTCCCAAGTGTCCGCAACAGCCAGAGCTCAGCCAATCCAAAGTCAGGAGCCAGGAGCTTCTTCCGGGTCTCCCACATAGGTGCAAGGTTCCAGGGCTTTGGGCCGTCCTCACCTGCTTTCCCAGGCTACAGGTAGGGAGCTGGATGAGAAGCAAGGCTGTTGGGATTAGAGCTGTTGCCCATATGGGATCCTGGTGCATGCAAAAGTGAGAACTATAGCTGCTAGGCTACCCCACCGGCTCCTCATATTTATTTTTATAACATAACATAAAGGTAGATAAAAATTTGTAAAATAGGATTTCTAACATGCTTATTTTAGTCCCCCAAAACAAACAAACAAACAAAAAACCCTGAAACTGGGGTGGGCATAGAGCATTACAGGTTAGATAACACACCCCATATTCAATGACCAAATTTTAGTCCCAGCCTCACTCTGCATTTTAGCTCCCTGCTAATGCAGATCATTGGAAGCAGCAGTGATGGCTCTAGCAGCCGTGTCCCTGCCATCCCCACACAATCCCAGTTTGAACTCCTAGCTCCCAGCTTCAGCCTGGCCCAGTCCCAGCTGTGATGGACATTTGGGAGTGAACTAGCAAATGCAAGATTTCTGTCTGACTCCAGTTCAGTCTTTATTTCTCTGTGTTAAAAATATTTAAATAAACAATGCTTAGAAATTTAAACCTTAAGGCCTGGTGCAATGGCTCAGAGGCTTGTACACACAGAATACCATATGGGTGCCGGTTCTAATCCTGGCTGCTCCACTTCCCATCCAGCTCCCTGCTTGTGGCCTGGGAAAGCAGTGGAAGATGGCCTAAAGCCTTGGGACCCTGCACTCATGCGGGAGACCTGGAAGAAGCTCTTGGCTCCTGGAGTTGGATTGGCTGAACTCCAGCTGTTGTGGCCACTTAGGGAGTGAACCAGCGGATGGAAGATCTTTCTCTGCATAACTCCTTCTCTCTGTGAATCTGCCTTTCCAATTAAAAAAATGAATCTTAAAAAAAAAACTGATATGCCATGTATGAGAGCTGAATGAGATGTGGGACAGACTGGACTAGTCAGCTGCACATACTGGCAAGCATGGGAAACCAGGCAGGGCAGGGGGCAGGCCTGGTGGGGGTTATTTCAGGTTGCTCCAACTAGGCTGCAGCTCCCACTGGTTTATGTGAGAGCCGAGTGTGTGCTGGGCAGAATCAGGCTGGACTGCAACACCCAATGGTTCCAGTGGAAGACAGGGCTGGAAACAGAACTGACCCAGCAATTGCAACTACCAGCTGATTTGGGTGCTAGACTGTACCGGGCTCTGTACTTGCCAAGTACACACAAGAATTTGGTCTGGGATCACCTCAAAGTTTCTTTGGGGAATCTCTCCAATTGAAATGCCAGACTCAGAACCCCAACCATGAAGAGAAGTGTAGGTTCCATGGTCCACCATGGAGTTCAAGTGCCAGAGCCAAGCCTCCTAAGACGCTCAGACGGAGCATTGGACAGCATAACCAGGTGCACATGGAGGATATGGCAGTCCATCAGAACCTGCAGAAGATACCTGGCACCACATTAGAGGACAGAACGATCAGCTACCCCAGCCATATTGTTGGCAGTGAAAATCTGGGCAAATGGAGATTCTAAGGTGAACTATGTCAACCAGTGGATTCTGAATAGATTTCATCATGCTTGGAATGGCAAGATTGGCAGCAATTCATAACTGTTGAACTATCAAAGCCACTTGAGCAAGACCCTCGGAGTATGCCCCACATCAGGGACCTGGGATGAGTGGGAGACTGGGTGGGCCTTCTCCCTTATCTCACCCTTTACCCCAGATACAGGAAAAAAAAATGTGGAAATAATAGTCTTACCCACTTTCCTGTAGCCTTTGAACTTTTTTGCCCTAATTAACTATATAAAGATTGTCAAAAAAAAAAAAAAAAAAAAGAAAAGAAAAAACCCTCTACATACAGGAAGAACTTAGTAAATGGTTAATGCAAAACCAAATAAATAGGGCCTGGCACAGTAGCCTATTGGCTAAAGTCCTGGCCTTGAATGTGCAAGCATCTAATATGGGCAGTTTTAATTCCGGCGGCCCCACTTCCCATCCAGCTCCCTCTTGTGGCCTGGGAAAGCAGTCAAGGATGGACCAAAGCCTTGGGACTCTATACCCACATGGGAGACTCAGAAGAAGTTCCTGGCTCCTGGTGTTGGACTGGCTGAACTCTGGCTGTTGCAGTCACTTGGGGAGTGAACCAGCAGATGGAAGATCTTCCTCCATATCTCTCCTTCTCTGTAAATCTGACTTTCCATAAAAAATAACTAATTCTTAAACAAACAAACAAACAAAAAACCCCAAATAAACATATGTGCACTGAGAGGAAGTAGGTTTCGTTGATTGAATGCCATCAATTTGACAAACAATATACTTGATAACTTATGCCTGTCATCCATTTTATCTTTAATAATCATTTAAAATTGAATGTCTTCTTTTTTCCTTAAAAAGAATAATTTATTTATTTTAAGACAGTTGTCACAGAGACGGAGAAGGGGATACAGAGAAGGCCCCTCCATCCACTGATGCAAACTCCAAATGGTTGCAACAGCCAAGGCCAGGCCAGTCAGCATCCTGGAATCCCATCCAGGTCTTCCATGGGCCTGGGAGGAGCCCAATCACGTGGGCCATCCTTCCTTGCTTTCTTAGGTGCATTAGCAGGAAACTGGATGAGAGGAGAGCAGCTGGGACTCAAACCAGTGCTCACACGTGATCCTTGTATCACACGGGATGATTTAACCCCCTGTGCCACAACACTGGTCCCTAATCACCTTTGTGATAGTGGAAACACACAGGTTGGCAGTCATAGCAATGGAGCCCAAATATGCAGGATGCACTGTGGAGGATCTGTTCCAGGGAAGGAAGTAAAGAGCCCCTGCCCTGGACTCAGAATGCATTTCTGATCACTGAGGTTCTTCCTGCTAACCTGCCCAGCGGCCAGACTCAATACCTGGTATGAAGTCACTTACCTTGGATATCTGTCTTGATTCAGCTACCTGTCTGTTTGAAATTTTAGAATCACTCTCCCCTGACCAAGATGCTTATCCTATCAGCCAAACTCCTTCCCAAATCAAACCAGCTTCACTTCCTCTCTCTGAGCCACAGATTTGCTCCTCTTTCATTTCAGACGGGGTTACAAAAACACATAGCAAACAGGGATGCTGAGATAAATCATATCTGAGAAAACATCTAACATGGCTCCATGCTCAAATATGCTGAGGCGGTGGCACGTGGGGACACAGGTCTCCTCTGCAGGGTCTCCCTCTAGCATTGATGAGAGAAAGACAAAGACAGTGCAGTGTCAAAGAGCCTCCATGATGTCAAGAGCTGGACAGCAGCTATCCAAAGATGAAGGGAGGAGACGGCACAGAAATCTTGGCCACGCAAGCTTCAGATTAAGGACCCAATAGGAAGCGCACATCTCACCTGCCCTCCACGCATCTTGATGCTTCGTATCACGCGCTCTAAGAGGCTGATCTGCTGGATGAGCCGGAGACTGTTTTCCTGTAATTGCTTGTTTTCTTTATCCAGGAAGAGAACTCTTGAGAATGGCAGAAAGCACAGTTAAAACTAGAAAGTCCTGTATTATTACTAAACTTTCAAATTAGGGCCTGGCAGTGTGGCTTAGCGGCTAAAGTCCTCACCTTGAACGCCCCAGAATCCCACATGGGCGCTGGTTCTAATCCCAGCAGCTCCACTTCCCTTCCAGTTCCCTGCTTGTGGCCTGGGAAAGCAGTCAAGGACAGCCCAAAGCCTTGGGATCCTGCACCCTGGAAAAAGAAGTTCCTGGCTCCTGGCTTCGGATCGGCACAGCATCGGCTGTTGCGCTCACCTGGGGAATGAATCATCGGATGGAAGATCTTTCTCTCTATCTCTCCTCCTCTCTGTATATCTGACTTTGTAATTAAAAAAAATCTTTAGGGCCCGGCGCGGTGGCGCAAGTGGTTAAAGGTCCTCGCCTTGCACGCCCGGGATCCCATATGGGCGCCGGTTCTAATCCCGTCAGCCCCGCTTCCCTTCCAGCTCCCTGCCTGTGGCCTGGGAAAGCAGTCGAGGACGGCCCAAAGCTTTGGAAACCTGCACCCGCGTGGGAGACCCGGAAGAGGCTCCTGGCTTTGGATCAGCATAGTATCGACCCGTTGCGCTCACTTGGGGAGTGAATCATCGGACGGAAGATCCTCTCTGTCTCTCCTCTCTGTATATCCGCCTTTCCAATAAAAAAATAATAAAAATAAATCTTTAAAAAAAATCTTTATATATAAAAAAAGAAATATACAACTTATATCCCAACCCCTTTCCACTAGTTCTGGGTCTTAGAACACTGTCTAGATTTTAGAACTAAAGCTCAATAAGGATAATTCCTACTGCATTTCATGAGCAAGTAAAAAAGTCATTCAGCTTCTGGCTAAATGTGGTTATTAAGAATATGTGCAGGAGTATAAAAGGCACAATTCTTGTTCTTGAGCAATTTCAGGAAGGATATGATTCCATTTATGGGTGGGATTGAGAGACTCCACAGGCCTTCAGAGAGTACGACTTTACGGAATGTGTCCATTTTGACCCTGTGCTGAGCTGGCTCTGAGTTAGCAGCAGCAGCAGCCATTTATCCTCTACTTACTGTGTTCAGGCCCTGTGACATACCCACACAGCAAGCAAATGCAACTTCGCATGCATTAGCTCATCAAACCCCCACAACAATCCCATGAAATACATAGCATCATGGAGCTGACACTATCAGAAAATGACTCTGGAAAAGGAAAACGAGAATAGAGGGTCATAAACAAGCTGGACCAACTTGTTTAGTAACATAAAATTAGACCACTTTTTGGCCTTTTGGCTAAGATCAAGTGTAGAACATAAAATTAGAGATGCACAAAGCTGGGATGTTGCCAACTCAGATCCATCAGATTTCCATGGTAAAGTTCTTCACGGCTCTCTCCCTCTCTAAGGCCATCGCTGGTGGGAGACTTCACAGTGGAATCATTTTCATCAGAGACCTATGTTTACATTCTGATTCTTCCTCTTACTGGCCATGTGGCCTTTAGCAAATTACAAATCTGAGCCCCAGATTGCTCATCAATAAAAGACGGAAATATCCTGAAGAAGGTACATAATCTAAGGAAAGACATCTAAGATCAATACAGGGTTTCAGAGTGTGTCCTTAGAGGGCAAACAGGAACATAACTAACATGAAGGCAAGAGTAACAAGTCATTTATGCTGGGGTCTGACTGTCAGAAGCCATGACAGAAGTCTTAGAAGGCCAATGGTTGAGATAGGATATATCAAATGGGAGACAGAGATGATAAAACACCATTAAAGAGTCTCCAGGTCAGACTGCACAAAGCAACGGACGAGAGAGCTGCTGCGGGCTTGGCCGACCTCCCCCAGTGGTAGAGCTCCAGGCTGAGCTGAGCTTGTTCTGCTATCGAGTAGGCTGGGCAAGTTCCCTGACCCACCCTTCTGCACCCTGGCTTCTTCATCCGTAAAACAAAGCTCAACAATAATGCCTGCCTCTTGGAGACTGGTGATAGGATTAAATGAAAGAGGGAGAGAGAGAGCGTGAAAGAGAGACTCACACTAGTATATAGTAAATGTTCAAATAACCATTAAAATTGCTACTGTTGACATTATTATGATCACTGTTTGCCCTAATCTTTTCTCTAAGAACTGCGTTTCAAATAAACACATAAAAGGTTTTGTGTTTATTTCACTTATTCACACTGTATTTGAAAGGCAGAGAGACACAGATATGGAGAGTGAGACAGAGACTCCATCCAGCGGTTCACTTCCGGTATGCCCACAGCAGTCAGGACAGGGTCCAGCATAGGCCAGCAGCCTCAAATATTATGAGTCTGAGTCTCCCAAGTGGGTGAAGGAAATCAAGCACTCAAACCATGATCAGCTGCCTCCTAGAGTTGGCATCAGCAGGAGGAGTCAGGACTGGAACCAGGCACTCTGATATGGCATATGAGTGTCCCAACTGTGCCTTAACCACCTTGTCAAACGCCCCTGGCTACAAAAAATTCCAGGGTAATTAAAGCAGCTGGCTGATTGTTTACTTATAATATTTTCATCAGTTAAAAATTAATACATCAAGGATGGGCATTTAGCCTTGAGGTTAAAATGTTGGTTAAGATGCTTATATCCTGGACCTGGTACAGTAGCCTAGCTGCTGAACTCTTTGCCTTGAATGCACTGGAATCCCATATGAGCACTGGTTCTAATGCCAGTGGCCCCGCTTCCCATCCAGCTCCCTGCTTGTGGCCTGGGAAAGCAGTCGAGGACGGCCCAAAACTTGGGACCCTGCACCCATGTGGGAGACCTGGAAAACACTCTGGCTTCAGATCGGTGCAGCTCAAGCTGTTGCGCTCACTTAGGGAGTGAATCAACAAATGGAAGATCTTCCTCTCTGTCTCTCCTCCTCTCTGTGTATCTGACTTTGTAATAAAAAATAAATATTATTTTTTTTAAAGATGCTTATATCCCACATCAGGGTGGCTGGGTTCTATGGGCTCCCAACTACAGCCTCCTAGCAATGCGGAGCCTGTGAGTCAACAATAACGGCTCACGTAACTGGCTGCTGCTATCAACGTGGGAGACATGATCCTCTCTGAACAGTTGACTGGCTTACTCATGCTATGCTTTTATGTTACCACCTCTGCCCTCAAGCCCCTCCCCACCCCAATCTGCTGAGGATGGCAGAGAGTGGGGCAGAAGTTACAGGATAGGGCACAAGCCCAAGGCCCATGCTTGGCGACTGTGTCTTTGTTGGGGGACAAACTTCCTCTCAGTGGTCTTCTCAGGTAGGACCGCCCCTACCTGCTCTGGATTGAAGTTATTATGCATTTGTTGCTGTGGATCACTTCTTCTTGTTCAGTGACCTGTTCCAGAAGCTTCCTTTTCTCCAGGAGCAGAGCATCATTCTGGGCCGTGACCTGCTCCTGCAATGCCCTTTCCTAGGGATTAGAGAGTCATGGGATTACCACGGCGGGACAGTGAATCACACAGGAGCATCAGTGTGTCTGAACTCCAGCAGCATATTCCACTTGGCTGTTTCTTGTCCTCCAGTCTCTCTTCTCTGTTGGCTGACACTGCCAGTCATCCCAGCTAGGAGGTTCTTTTTAGTTTGGTTATTTTATGTCACACATTTTGTTGGGTCACATAATTTTTTTTCTGTGTGTGGTCACATTAAAATTTACCTGAGCACTTGGCTCCACTGCGGTCCCAGTGCTCTTTCCTGTATTCTTACTCCGTAGCTTCCACTCTGAATGGGGGGAGTCTGCCTATCTCACTCGGCGCTTGGGCATCAGGCTCTCAAGCCAAAAATGGAAGCTAGGAGCTGACACTATTCTCACAGTGATGCTGAAATGACTTCTAGCCTGAGAACTCACTTCCTTTTCTAAAAAAAAAAAAAAGATTTCTTCCAAAGCAGTAACTGTGACAAGGAGTATATTTTGTGAAAAGCAAAGAATCAAACCACACCAAACTAACATTCCTATACTGAAGGAATGAGGAGTTTAGAACTCAGAAGTGTAGAATTGCCAGGCTCACCTCAGTGATGAACTTGCCAAAGGTCTGATGGGTAAGTGTCCTGTCTGTGCTTGTCCCTCACCTGCTGGAGCTGGGAGTGTGTGGGGCGGAGGCAGGGGAATGACGCTGGCAGTCACAAGGGCAAGAGGGGGCAATTAGGTAGCTTTTTGTTTTGTTTTGTTTTGTTTTCCTATTTATTTATTTTTGTTTTCGTTTTTTAAACAGCAAGCTAATGAAGGTGTTGGACTGAAAACCACCATTCCCGGGACACTTTAATCTGTAATGAGATTCTCAACTGCTGCTACTGAAGGGCCCTTGATTAGTAAGAGATTGGCAAGGACTGAAATGTGAATCATTCCTTACCTCCATAACATCCTTCGCAGTGAAAAATGACATTTATTAAAAGAGTGTGAAGGCAAGGATGTATAAAGAAACAGAAATGTGTGTGTGTGTATTTTTAAAGATTTATTTTGTGTGATAGTTCAATGGCTAAATCCTTGCCTTGTATGTGCCAGGGTCACATAAGGGCAATGGTTCATGTCTCAGCTCCCTGCTGATGACCTTGGAAAGCAGCAGAAGGTGGTCCAGGTCCTTGGGCCAATACTCTTACATGCAGTGGAAGAAGCTCCTGGCTCCCAGCTGCAGGCCAGGCCAGCTCCGACTGTTGAGGCCATTTGGGAAGTGAACTAGCAGATAGAAAATATACCTGTCTCTCTCTTCAAGTAAAGTAAATTGATTTTTTTAAAGATTTATTTTATTTTTATTGCAAAGTTAGATATACAGAGAGGATGAGACATAGAGGAAGATCTTCCATCTGATGATTCACTCCCCAAGTGAACGCAACGGCAGGTGCTGCGCCAATCTGAAGCCAGGAGCTAGGAATTCCTCCAGGTATCCCACGCGGGTGCAGGGTTCCAAGACATTGGACCATCTTCGACTGCTTTCCTAGGCCACAGGCAGGGAGCTAGATGAAGTAGAGCTACCAGGATTAGAACCGGTGCCCATATGGGATCCTGGCACTTTCAAGGAGAAGACTTTAGCCGCTAGGCCACGGCGTCGGGCCTGCTCTTTTTGTTTTTAAAAATATTTATTTATTTTTATTGGAAAGGCAGATTTACAAAGAGAAGGAGAGACAGATGGCAAGATCTCCTGTCCACAGTTCACTCCCTAAGAGGCCACAACAGCCAGAGCTGAGCCTATCTGTAGCCAGCAGCTAGAAACTTCTTCCAGTTCTCTCATGTGGGTATATGGTACAGGGTCCCAAGGTTTTAGGCCATCCTCTACTGCTTCCCCAGGCCAGTAGCAGGAAGCTGGATGGAAAGTAGAACAGCCAGGACTGAAACTGATATCCACATGGGAGGTTGGTGTGCCATACCACCATGCCAGCCCCAGATCAATGGTTTTCACGGTCATTTAAAACTTACACTGACCCTAATCAACTAAGTAAGATTATTAAAAACAAACAAAAAACCACACTGGAGTTATAAGCATAGTGAGGGTTGCAGGACACAAGGAGGAACTAAAGAGGACAGTTTGGAAGTCTTTGATGAGTGGTTATTTAAGTAAAGACATTGTAGTCAATGTTGTGATACAGAGGGTCAAGCCACTGTCTGTGATGCCAGCATCCATATGAGCACTGGTTGAATCCTGACTGCTTCACTTCTGATTCAGCTCCCTGATAATGAACCTGGGAAAACAGCAGAGGATGGCCAAAGTACCTGGGCTCCTGCCACCCACATGGGAGACCTGGATCCTGGCTTCAGACTTACTCGTCCTGGCATTGCAGTTGTTTGGGGAGTGAACTAGTAGATGGAAAATCTGTTTCTCCATTCCCCCCTTCTCTTTGCAATCCTGCCTTTCAAATAAACAAACTAAATCTGGTGCGGTGGTACAGTGAAGTAAACCATCACTTGGCAGCACCTAGACTGTAGTGTGGTTTGAGTCTTGGCTACTGCTCTACTTCTCATTCAACATCCCACTAATGTGCCTGGGAAGGCGACAGAGGATGGCCCTCATGCTTGGGCTCCTGTCAGTGATGTGGGAGGTCCAGCCGACATCCCTAGCTCCTGATTTCAACCTGGCCCAGCCTCAGTTGTTGAGGCCACTTAAGGAAATAATCTAGTGGAATGAAGTGAAAGATTCTCTCTGCTTCTCTGTCAGTCTGCCTTTCATATAAACTAATCTTTTCTTTAAAAAAAAAAATATGGTACAAAGATAAGAAGTTAAACAAAGGTTGTGACAAGGCCCCAAGTAATTTTTAAAGTGAGAGGTCTTTCTTCATGGTCAGCCACAGCATCACCACTGAGCTGTTAGCCCATTCATCTTCTTCCTCACCTTTTCCATTTGCTGTTGCAGTGTTCCGATTTCATTTTCAAGGTGTTTGATTCTTTCCTCTCGGAGTTCTACTTTCTGAAGCAGACGCTCCTTGACTTTTTGAAGCTTGAGTTTGTTGTGGTGATGTTTCCTGTTATAGTTCCTATAAAAGTAAATTTCAGTACAGGCACACCTGAACACAGTCACAACGTGTTTTACCCCTCAGTCCCCACCTTGTCTGGGTCGCCTCTTGTTAGTATATGGAACCTGGCACCAGAGAGGGATGCCCATGTTGAAGAATGAACAAGGGATAATCCCCTACGTATGGATTTAAGCCTCTGGCTTACTTCAGTCTGAACTGATGCTTGTGATATGGCTTTAGCTTCTATGTTTAATTTTAAAAAACCCTTGGCTTCTGATCCCTGATACATTTTGAATCATGGCCATTTGGGGGGTGAATCAGCAAATGACAAATCCTTAAAGGGTCCCAAAGCCTTAGAACCCTTGCACCCACATGGTAAACTCAAAAAAAGTTCTGGATAATGATTTTTGATTGGCTCAGCTCTGGCTGCTGCAGCCATTTGTTTATTTATTTATTATTATTATTATTTGAGATTTTTAAACTTTCATTGGAAAGGCAGATTAGATTTATGGAGAGAGAGAGAGACAGAGAGAAAGACCTTCCATCCACTGGTTCATTCCCTAAATGGCCATAATGACTGGAGATGAGCTGATCCAAAACCAGGAGCCAGGAGCTTCTTCTGAGTCTCTGATGCAGGTGCAGCGTGCATGGTTCTAAGGCTTTGGATCATCTTCTACTGCTTTCCTAGGCCATTAACAGGGAGCAGGATGGGAAGTGGAGCAGGCAGGACACAAAACAGTGTCCAAATGGGATCCTGGTGCTTGCAAGGTGGGGATTTAGCCATTGAGCCATCACAATGGGCCCCATAGCAGCCATTTAGGGAGTGAACCTGCAGATGGACAATCTGTCTTTCCTTTTTAAATCTGCCTTTTCAATAAAGACAAATATAAAAATAAATAACAAGCCAAACCGCAGAATCAGAAATGTTGGGACTCTGCATGTTAGCAATCCTTAGGGATTTCCCAGGAGGCTGGAGTCAAAAAGTCCCAGGCACGTTTGGGAGGAGCGCACCTCACTTGTGCCCCTCACTGTAAGCAAACTACTGGTGGCAGGCTCTAAAGTACAAGTATTTGTTGCCTTGCTTCTCTCCTGCCCACAGACCCCAGATTTCAGCTGCATGTCCACATAGAATCCTTGATGTTAAGGCAGGGTAGGATGGTAGACATTAGCTTATGTGTGTGAGAGGGCCAGAAGGGCAAAATCAAGGGCAATGTTGTGCAGTCGAATGGGAGCAGAAACGTAGAAGCACACCTTGGAAACAGACCCGCACTTGAGTTTTGTCTGTGCTCCACACCCTTGTGAGGTGGGTCCCAGCTGCTCCAGGGGCACTCCCTGGCTCAGGATGTTGAAGGTGTGCGGCTGTTGAGCTTACTCAGTGTGACTGAAGGGACTGGCTCTCCTTAGAGGAGGCAACCTCTAAGCCCTTGGAGTATCTTACCTGATGACAATCCCTCATGCACCTGAGGCCTCGGGTGACACGCCAGGTGGGTTATTCTAACAGTGGATTTTATGATGAATGCATTTTTCTTCACTTAAGTCCCTGGACTGCTGGGGTAGGTAAGGGAAGCAGGGGTTGGGGACTAAATAGTTAGGCCATGACCGGCGGATTCCATGTTAATCTGACTCCTGATTCTACCTCCCCACCCCCTCCTAACTGCCCCCTAAAAAAATCCCTGGACGCTGGGACCCAGGTTGCTTCACTTCTGATCTAATGATCAGTGAGAGCATACAGATCAAACTCAGACGAGGCAAAGGGCGCGAGGCTGAGAATACGGCCCAGCTGCCGATTGACACGTGTGTGGAGTCTGCGGGAAGGAGATGGCTGAGTGCTTGCTTCAGTGCTGTGTCTCTTAGATGCTCTGCAAGTACCTTTTGTCCTTGGCTGAAAACTGTGAAGGTCATAGCCCTTCTGAGTTCTGTTAGTCATTCCGGGGAACCATAGCACCTGTCCGTTGCCCCATAGATAAACTGCTTCTACAGAGAAGAATACAGCCCCAGAGCCTGTGAACTTCCCTTGCAGTACCCTACTGCTACAAAACCAGCTGTGTATTTGGTACCATGTGGAACCAGACAAGACAGGAGGAGCAAAGTGGGCTATCCAAGTGCTCATTTTAGTTCACGTGCAATGGAAGAGCTACCCCAAGAGAGTTCTAAGGCCTTGTAGGTCAGGTCTCATTCTTCAGTGTTTTTTTTTACAAGGCTCCTCCAGTTTCCAAAGTAGTCTCCCCTTCTTCCTGTTTGCTGGCTGTGCATAAAATAACAAATTCAAGTGTTTTTCCATGAGGAGACCCATTTAGCTGTTAGCCAGATACCAAGGTGAGCAATGGAGATTCCTGCAGCACAGAAGCAGGCCGCCAGGTGAGATGCAGCTTGGCAGAGACGCAGACATTGGCTCCTGGCGTTGTGAGCAGCCAGTTTCTTCTTACGTTATTACAGATGCCAACATAAAGTGAGTGGAAATGGGGTGCCTTAAGGGAAAATAGAAGGCATTGGCTTTCCCCTATTTCTTTCTCTTCTTCCTTTTTATTTTAATATATATTTTTAAAGATTTTATTAGAAAGTCAGATATACAGAGAGGAGGAGAGACAGAAAGGAAGATCTTGCGTCATTGATTTATTCCTCAAGCGGCTGCAATGGCTGGAACTGAGCCAATCCGAAGCCAGGAGCCTGGAACCTCTTGTGGGTCTCCCATGTGGGTGCAGGGTCCCAAGGCTTTGGGCCGTCCTCGACTGTTTTCCCAGGCCACAGGCAGGGAGCTGGATGGGAAGTGGGCTGCTGGGACACGAACTGGCACCCATATGGGATCCTGGTGCTCAAAGTGAGAACTTTAGCTGCTAGGCAACCATGCTGGGCCCTTCTTCTTCCCCTTCCCCCTTTTTAAAAATTATTTGTTTATTTGAAAGTTATGGCTAGACAAAAAGACACAGAGGCAGAGAATGAGTGAGAGAACAAGACAGTGAGAAAGGGAGAGAGATTCTCTATCTTCTGGATCACTCTCCAAACAGCCACAATGATGGGAGCTGGGTGAGGTCAAAGCCAGGAACTGGGAGCTTCACCTAGGTCTTCCACATGGGTGCAGAGGCCCAAGTACTTGGGCCATCCTCCTCTGTTTCACAGGTATCTCAGCAGGGATCTGGATCGGAAGTTGGGACTCAGGTGATGACCACGTGGGATGCTGGAGTCACAAGCAGTGGCTTAACCGGCTCTGCTTCAATGCCAGCCGCTCTTTCTTTCTTTCTTCTTGGTCAGAATGTAACAGTGAGCTCTCTCCAGTTAGAGAGTAGGTGGGTGAGGACAATATGTTAAAGATGCTGGAGCAGCAAAACACAAGCTCGGCCTTCCGACACACTAAGCCGCCACACCAGTCTTGGATGGATCTGCCTACACTGTTAAGTAAGGCACGTGTCACAAGGCACTTGTTTTGAAGCCATTCTTCTCCAGGGTCTCTGTTACAAGCCCTCAGCCTGCAGCTTAATTAATGGAGTTGGCTGCATTCATCAAACCGCCCTGGACCCATTCAGTTCTGCAGCCTACGTAATGAAAGGCACATACTCTTCAAGACTGCCCACCATCACCACTGTTGTGACTTGGATCTTTGTAAGGAGCTATTTGCATCTCATCAATGTTCTCATTTTCCCTTTTACTAGGAACGCTTGGGGAAAGATTTTACTGACTTTCATTGCCCTCTGGTCTGGAGCTTTCTAGCTGTAACATCTGGTGGTGTACAATTTGCTTGTCATTCCCTGGGTTGCTGGGCTATTCACAGTGAAGCGCATGCACTTCTTGGAATGTCTATTGCCTGTGCTGTACTAGGACACTAAAAACCAACTGTCTCACTTCAGATGCCAAGCAGCTGCCATGGCCTCTCATTCTGCTATTTGGATTACTAAAAATTAAATGTATTCTTCAAGGAAAGAAGATAAATTATAGAAAAAGTCTGGAAAACAGCCAACTTCTAATATGATCAGTATTCTATTGCTGCATTTCTTTCTAGTCTTTAAAACATGTTTAAATTTCTTTTTATTTATTTGAAAGGCATGCGCAGATGCACATGAGGGACATGCCAGCCAGCTCCTCTAGGCCAGTAGAAGATGTTGAGTGCCTCATTAGAGCATGGAAAGCAGAATAGGTTAGACAGTTCTCCTGGCCAAGCTTTGCAGCATGTTCCTGGGTCTGCAGATGCACTAATGTGGATTTTGTCAACCAACAGATCTTGGAAAGATTTTCTCAACCCTGGGGCCCGGCAGCGTGGCCTAATGGCTGAAGTCCTCATTTTGAATGTGCCGGGATCCCATATGGACTCCGGTTCTAATCCCTGCAGCTCCACTTGCCATCCAGCTCCCTGCTGGTGGCCTGGGAAAGCAGTCGAGGACTGACTCCTGGCTCCAGATCAGCACAGCACCGGCTGTTGCAGTCACTTGGGGAGTGAATCATCGGACTGAAGATCTTCCTCTCTGTCTCTCCTCATCTCTGTGTATCTGACTTTGTAACTTTGTAATGAAAATAAATAAATCTTCAAAAAAAAAAAAGATTTTCTCAACCCTGGAGCAACAAAAATAATAACATCTCAGAATTGTCAAAACCACTCCAGTAGTACTCTTGGAACACACGTCCCTAAATCGTAGTCTCCAAACTGTCATCAAATGACTGCCTATCCCTGGGTGCTGATGTAGTTTGATAGCAACAAGTGGTCCCCACCCATCTTCTCCTGTAGACAAGGAAGTAGGAAAAGAAAACAAAAAAACAAAACCCAGACATATCTGTCCCACTCACCTTCCCTGAACCTGGCCCTCCCCACCCTAATCAAAGGCCCGCTGGGTGTGCATCCCTCTCAACTATGTAAACAGTATTATGAAAAAAAAATTTTTAAATGTTTAAAAGCCACACAGCTATTTTCTGACAGAACCAGGCTCCCTCTCTTAACCACAGGGCTATACTTGAGAAGGGAAGGAACTGGGCCCACTGTGGTAACCTAGTGGCTAAAAGTCCTCCTTGCCTTAAGATTACCAAGATCCCATATGGGTGCTGGTTCTAATCCTGGTGGCCCTGTTTCCCATCCAGTTGTCTGCTTGTGCCCTGGGAAAGCAGTCAAGGACGGGCCAAAGCTTTGGGACCCTGCACCCACATGGGAAACTTGGAGGAAGTTCCAGGCTCCTGGCTTCGGATTAGCTCAACTCCAGCCATTGTGGTCCTTTGGGGAGTGAATCATCGGGCGGAAGATCTTCCTCTCTGTATATCTAACTTTCCAATAAAACTGAATAAATCTTAAAAAAGAAAAAAAAAAGGAGAGAAAGAGAGTGGAAGGAGCTGGGTGGCACAATGACGCAGGGAATGGTAGAAAGAATGGAAGTTTAGGAACATACTTTCTACTCAGTGTCAGGGACCATGGTGGAAAGATGAGCAAGCCCATGGCCCATTCCCTGGATGGGCCTCTAGCCAGTCTGGTGAGGAAGACAGCAAATGAAACACATTATTTCAAAGCACCGCAGTAAATTCTGCAGACACAGAAGCAGGTACAAAGCACTGCAGGGATATGAGGACTGCACCCAGCCCAAGCTGGATTTGACAAAACAGGCTGCTTAGAGCAGGTGACCCATCTGAGAATCTTGAGTGGAAAGGGGGAGAACACACTACGGGCTGAGAAGCGTGTGGGAAGGCGAAAGGAGACTGCTGGTAAGCGAGCGGGCTCATGCAGGGACAGGCCAGTGAGCCACCAGGGCTCAGGACACACATGGGAATTCCCCTCTCCCTCCCAAATGGGAGAAGAAACTTGCCCCCTGGTCTCCCTTGGAGAAGTCCTAAGGTTAGAACTTCTGCAAACAGAAAGAAAATTAAGTCAGCCCTCCTCAAGAGTTACATCTGCGAGTATTCTTTGACTTAACCCTCAAGCAGACTCAGCAAAAATGACTCCCCCTGGTTTACCTCCAAGGGGAAACTTGTTTTTTGTTTACCTCACATGGACATCCACCTGCTTCAAAAATTGCCCATATTCTTCACAAAGTGCTTCCTTTTCTTGTTGTAATCCAGAAAGCTTCTCTGACAATTCCTGGTTGTTCTTCATATGCTGGAAAATATTTTTTAAATGTTTGATTTTAAAAAACATTATTAGGAAAAAAAACCAGAAAAAACCTACAAAAATAAATAAAACAAAAACAATTGAAAAATAAAGTTTATTTATTTGAAAGGCAGAATAGGGCCAGCATTGTGGTGTAGCTAGTCAAGCTGCCACCTGCTATGTTGGCAATCCTTATGGGCACTGGTTCCTGTTCCGGCTGCTCCATTCTCATCCAGCTCCCTAGTAATAACCTGGGAAAAGCAGCAAAAGATGGCCTAAGGAACTGGGGCCCTGCCACCCACATGAGAGACCTGGAGAAGCTCTTGGCTCCCACTCCTTGGCAGTTATAAACCATATGGAGAATGAATCAGTAGATGGAAAAATCTTCCTGTTTGTCACTCTGACTTTCAGAATACATACATCTTAATAAATAAAAGCAGATTGCAGAGAGAGATGGAGGAAGAGACACAGAGAGAGAGAGAGAGAGAGATTTTCCATCTGCATGGCCACAATAGCAGGTCTGGGTCAGGCCAAAGCCAGGAATCCCATCGGGGTCTCCCACATGTGTGGCAGGAACCTGAGTCCTTGAGCCATCACCTGTTGTTCCCCTTCGAGGTACATTAAGCTGGATTGGCAATGGAACAGCTGGGACTCAAACTGGCCCTCTGGAATGGCATGAAAGTGTCTCAAGTGGCTTCAAAACATTCTCTACAAACTGAAAGCAATCTCAGACCCAGCACAGTAATCTAGTGGTTAAAGTTCTTACCTTGAATGCACCAGGATCCCATATGGGTGCCGGTTCTAATCCTGGAGGCCCTGCTTCCTATCCAGCTCCTCTTCTGTGGCCTGAGAATGCAGTAGAAGATGGCCCAAAGCCTTGGGATTCTGCACCTGCATGGGAAAACCAGAGGAAGTCTCCCACATAGGTGCAGGATCCCAAAGACTTGGGCCGTCCTCGTCTGCTTTCCCAGGCCACAGACAGGGAGCTGGATGGGAAGTGGAGCTGCTGGGATTAGAACCAGCGCGCATATGGGATCCCGGGGCATTCAAGGTGAGGACCCCAGCCATTAAGCTATTGTGCCGGGCCACACACTGACTTTCTAAACTGAGGAGTGAGGGCTGTTGAGTAAGAAATGTCCAAGAGCCTAGAGTTGCCTTTTGAAATTCTGGAATAAATATACTCTACGTTTGTTCCTTCAACACATTTATCAAAGAACCTTCAGGTCTGTGAGTTTGCAGCAGCGCTCAAATCAGAGTATCTTTGTCTCTTCCAAGTCTTGTCAATCAGGTGCAAAGCTATTAAATGAACATCAATGTGCAGATTTCTGAGTGGACGTAATTTTTCAACTCTTTGGGTAAATATGAAGGGAGCATGACTCCTGGAAATACATGGTAATAGTACATTTAGTTTTTTAAAAACTATCAAGCTGTCCTCCAAACTGGCTGTCCCATTTTGAAGACCCATCAGCAATGATTGACAGTTCTTATGGGTCCACAGTCTTGCCAGCATTTGGCAGTGTCAGTATTTTGGACTTTGGCTGTTCTAATAGACATATGGTGAGATCTCACTGTTGTTTTACACTGTAATTCTCTGATGACAAACTGAGTGGAAATCTTCCTCTAGGTTTAGTATATATATATATATATATATATATATATATATATATATATATATACCACAAATAGATGCTGTTGAATTTCAGCAAGTCCTTTGTATGTGTTTGCCATAGTCTGAATGATGGGTGTTCCAAATTCATGACACAGGGTACTTGCTGTTGAAAGATGATTAGTTCATGGCTGTAGAGTCCTCATGGATAGGAGCAGCAATTTTATTAAAGAGATTGAGGTTGAAGGGAGCGTGCCCAGAGCCTTCCATCCTGGCCATAAAGAAGTAGACCTTCTCCTCTCCAGAAGATGCAGAGATCTTGGAAGCAGAAAGTCCTTCTGCGTCTGGCACAGTGGCCTAGAGGCTAAAGTCCTTGCCTTGAATGTACCAGGATTCCATATGGGCACTGGTTAGTGTTCTGGCAGCCCTGCTTCCCATCCAGCTCCCTGTCTCTGGCCTGGGAAAGCAGTCGAGGATGGCCCAAAGCCTTGGGACCCTGCACCTGCATGGAAGACCTGGAACAGGCTCCAGGCTTCTGGGTTCGGATCAGCTCAGCTCTGGCCATTGCGGCCATTTAGGGAGTGAACCACTGGATAGAGGATCTTCCTCTCTCTCTTCTCCTCTCTGTATATATGACTTTCCAATAAAAATAAACAAATCTTTTAAAAAAGTTTGGTTGAATTGAGGCCAATATTGTGATGTAGTGGGTGAACAGGAAGTAGAGAGATGCTGTGAGTACTTTCCCAGACCACAAGCAGGGAGATGGATGGGAAGTGGGGCTGCCAGGATTAGAACCAGTGGCCAAATGGGATCCCGGCGTGTGCAGGATGAGGACTTTAACCACTACGCTATTGCGCCAGGCCCACCTCTTCCTTCTTTTCTTTTCTTTTCTTTTCTTTTCTTTTCTTTTCTTTTCTTTTCTTTTCTTTTCTTTTCTTTTCTTTTCTTTTCTTTTCTTTTCTTTTCTTTTTTCTCTTTCTTTTTCTTCCTTTCTTTCTTTCTTTTCTTTCTTTCTTCCTAATGCAGATCCCAGTTCCTACTCTATACCCTTTTCATTGCCTCTAAAGACCTTTACCACTTCCTGCTGCTAACAAATTCCCTCCTGTTTTGTTTGTTCTGAGTTTTGTTTCTCCTTCACTTTTTTTTTGTTTTAAATGAACTTGTGTGTGTTTATATATATATAGCCAAAATGAAGTCTTTAGTTGAGATAATTTATATCTATATAAATATATAGATATATATATGAGAGAGGAGTTAGTGGGTAGTAGGCAGTTAGGGTATTCTGGGTCCCCGAGTAAAAGAGAATTTCCCCACCAGGTCTTGGACTCACCAGAGCACGTCTCTTCCAAGGGACGGAGTGCTATTAGCATATCAATTCCCCACCTGAAGTATAGGCCGTCTCCTCTGGCCATTGTGGGAGGGCCTCAGGCTGATCTCTTTATCATTGAAAGGAGAGCAGGAAGAAGTAATACACATCTGCCTAAGGCCTGGAATGTCCTATGTCTGGTATCTCTGTGACCTTTTGTCCCAAGGCCAGGTACCATGGAAATCAGGAATTTTCTTTGTTTATGGAGAAACATCTTTGAGGGAAACCTTTAAAAGGTGCATTCCCCACCATTGATACGGGTTTTGGCTTCTTGTCCTCCTGCCACTATGGCAGAGCACTAGGGTTTTGGGTTCTTCTTCTCTTCCTGCCACTATGGCAGAGGGTTATTCTTCTCCTCCTGTCACTATGGCAGAGGACTAGGGTCTTCTATTTACTCTTCCTCCTGCCACTGTGGCAGGGGGTAAGGGTCCTTTCTATCTCAAAGCCCCCTCCCGTCACTAGGACGGGAGTCTTCTCTTCTCAGCTTTTCTAATAAATCTTGCGTTAAAACTAAACTGTGTCCGCATGAAAATTCTTCTTTCCTGCGAGACAAGAATTTGAGGTTGCTGCCATACTCGGAGTCAAAATTCCTGCAACATATACACACACTCACACTCACACATATTTTTTAAGGGTTCATTTATTTCAATTTATTTGAAAGTCAGAGGTACAGAGAGGGAGAGACAGAGAGAGGGAGAGATCTTCCACCTCTGTTGGTTCACTACCTAAACGGCCGCAATGGCCACAGCTAGGCCAGTCTGAAGCCAGGCAAGAGGAGCCTCTTCTGGGTCTCCCACATGGCTGCAGGAGCCCAAAGCTTTGAGCCACCCTCTGTTGTCCTTAGGCCACTAGCAGGGAGCTGGATAGGAAGCAGAGCAGTCAGGACTTGAACCAGTGTCCGTCAGGGATGCAGATGCTGCAGGCAGAGGGTTAACTGCTTCTGGCTAGTGGCTTTGCTACAACTGACATGGGAGGAATTTTAGAGGCAGCCCTGAGGGAGGGTGTTGGTGACAGATGACATACTTCCTTTGGTTCTTTTTCAGTCTTCTTGTCCTACAGCAGTTTACGAAAATCACACACACTGATATTGTGAGGAGTTACAAGGGCCAATAGCTAGTAGGGTCACATCCTGTTGTAATGGGAAAAGGTACAAAAGGTGCTTTAAAATCTTACAGAATGCTTGCTCAGAAGGTACTTCTAACAAGACAAAAGTGCCTTCCCACCCTCCCGAGTTTATCAGTCACACCCACCCGTTGGCTTTTGTGCAAGCTAGACGGGCTTACAGTTGTGATCTTCTGATGAGGTTTGTCCTCACCCTCTTGTTGATTGTCAGCTGTTGTTCTCACCTGAATTGTGCTTGAAAGACACATTTTCTCTTGCAACTTTTTATTTATTTATTTATATTAGAAAGGCAGATTTGCAGAGAGGAGAGATCTCTCCTGCTGTTTCACTTCCCAAGTAGCTGCAATGGCCACAGCCCAGCCAATCTGGAGCCATCTTTTGCTCCTCCAGGTCTCCCATGTGGGTGAAGGATCCCAAGGCTTTGGGCCATCCTCTACCACTTTCCCAAAGCCCCACAAGCAGGCAGCTGGATGGGAAGTGGAGCAGTCAGGACATGAACTAGCACCCATATGGGATCCCAGAGCTTGAAGGGAAAGATTAGTCAACTGAATTATCATACCAGGCCCCTCAAATTCTTCTTTTATGTGAGACAAGAAATGAGGCTGCTGTCATCTTTTGTGTTGAATTTCCACGCAACAGTATCATAAGTGAAGTATGGAAGCTGGTATTGAGTATGGAGAGAAAAAAACAACTTTGGGATTTTTTTTTCTCCTTTTTCTCTTCTGGCACCAGCTGGCAGGTGAAGGGCAGAGGAAGAGACATTTGTCGAGGCTTCAGGGACAGTGTCTGCAAACCCCCCATTTCACTGTGGGAGGTGGTCTTCCTGTGATTCCTGACCTCAGGGTTCTCTGGAGGCTCGCACCAGTTCTTGCTGGCTCCTGGCCATTTGATTGTTTTGTAGGCATCTTGTTCCCTGTGTTATATCCCTTCTTGCCTGTGTTTGGGCTCAGGACATATCATTCCAGACAAGAGCCAAGGAGACCAGATATGCTACGTGGAAATACACTTTCGCATATTTTGAGTTGGTTGTTCGGAGAAGCAGCAGGCATAGGAACAGGTAGCTTTCTTTCTCTCTCTCTTTTTTTTTTTTTTGGAAAGTTATATCTTAAAGCTTTATTTATATATTATTATCCCCAAGTCACTATTTTTCCTAATCAATAAGTGGAAATTTTAGTTCTTATTTTTTTTAACAACTACATTTCTCCATATGTAACATGTTTATCACTTAGGAAACATGAAAAATAGGTTAGTTGTTTTCTATAAAGCCATAATGAAGTCTTTAGATGAGATCATTAAATGAAAGTAAATAAAGTTAGGGCTAAGTTAATCACTAATGTAAGATAACTTTCAAATGTATAATGCTTATCATTTAAGATTACAAATATAAAGTGAAGGACATTGGTTTCCTTATGCATCAGCCTAATTTTAAAAATAAAACTATACACATTATTGAAATGGTCTCTGGCTACAGATTCACGCATGAATTATAGAGGTCCACCTAGAAGCTTTTGTACCAAAAGAAAACAAATAAGAAGAAAATCTAGAAAGTGAATGTGTCACACTAGAGTACCTAATTAAAAAGATAACGTTTGCAGTTCATTTGGCGTACAGAGTAGGAATGATGTCAGCAGTCTTCATCCATCAGCAAGTAAGTAGGATTTGCAATGGGAAATGTGTAATTATTCTTTTCACATCACCTAAGGCACAGCAAGTGGCTCTGTTGTTAGGTGTCCATCAGGATTCATTCCTCACTTGCATGTATGGTGTCTGTATCCATAGATGTTCCTAGGTAGTAATTCATCATCCCCAAGTCCCCAGAGCTCATTGGTGGGCGGCCTGGGGAGCAAAGATTGTGCTGGCTGCTTAAAAAATAACTGGGGGTGAGCTGCGATCTCCAATCATCAACCAAGATTGGCCGATGAAGTGGAGTTCTGCTCTGCATGCCCAACCTGCGTAGCAAAGATGGTGCTGCTGCTTAAAAAGCAACTGGGGGTGTGCCAGCAATAGGTAGCTTTCTTTTTTTTTTTTTTTAAGATTTATTTATTTTTATTACAAAGCCAGATATACAGAGAGGAGGGGAGAAAGAGAGGAAGATCTTCTGTCCAATGATTCACTCCCCAGGTGACTGCAACGGCCAATGCTGCACCAATCCCGAAGCCAGGAGCCAGGAACCATTTCTGGGGTCTCTCACATGGGTGCAGGGTCCCAAAGCATTGGGCCATCCTCAACTGCTTCCCAGGCCACAAAGAGGGAGCTGGATGGGAAGTGGAGCTGCTGGGATTAGAACCAGCACCCATATGGGATCCCGGCGTGTTCAAGGTGAGGACTTTAGCCGCTAGGCCACGCTGCCGGGCCCAACAGGTAGCTTTCATAAAAGAAATTTATCCTTTAAGGAAATTTCTGTTAGTGAAAGTATTTGTACTGCCAGGGAAAGGTCTGCTCCAGCCAGGCAACTTGTGCGACCAGAGAGAATTCTGTCGGTTCCATGGGACAGCCTAATTGTACCTTTCCTCCCCTCTTCAGGCTGCCACCGTCCATGGTGAACCCCAAGCCCCTCTCCCTCGCTCTAGCTTGGGACAAAGCTGTCTGTCATGCTGTATGTAAGCTTCGAGCCTCTGACCTTCCTTCTCTGGAGCAGCTTCTTTCCTGATTGAAGCCCTGGCTAAACCTAAAGGGTGAAGGGCTGGGCACTCGCTAATAATTGGCTGCCACTCAGGCCCGTAGGAACAGGGAGTCTGTGAGGCATGTCTGTTTCCTGTCTTACCTCTTCAGATTTTCTTCTCTCGTTTTCCAGTTGTTTGAGGAGGGCTTCTTGCTGCTGAATTCTGGATTGTTGCTGGTAACTGGTCATTTCCAGGTGGTTCTCTTTGTCCTGTAAGGTCTTCACTTGCCTTTGGAGCTCACTGACATTCTGATCTAGGAGTTTCCTGAAGGCAGTAAATGCACATTATTAAGTCACACTGTGAATACCAAATTCTTGCAAATGAAGTTCAGAATTCACATTTTATGCTTCCATAGGAAACGTTTTTACTTAATTAGATAGGGTATGTGTCCACAGCATAAAGGGAAGAGAAAAAAAGGTGGGGCTGCTGGGATTAGAACTGGTGCCCATGTGGGATTCCTGTGCATTCAAAGTGAGGATTTTAGCCATTAGGCTTCCGTGTCAGGCCCTAGGGGAAGCCTTCTTCAGCATCCTGGCTCCACAGGTGCCTGCTATGTGCCACCACCAAAGCCTCCTTCAAAATAACGCTCGTCACACTGAGTGGCAGTTCCCAGTCTAAGCACACAGATATTCAATGAAGCATTATTTAACCTGGCAAAAATGTTTAAAAAACATATTACATGGGTCCAGCCTGGTGGCCTAGTGGCTAAAGTCCTTGCCTTCAATGAGCTGGAATCCCATATGGGCACTGGTTCTAATCCTGTCAGCCCTACTTTCCATCCAGCTCCCTGCTTGTGGTTTGGGAAAGCAGTCGAGGATGGCTCAAAGCCTTGGGACTCTGCACCCACGTGGGGGAGACCTGGAAGAAGCTCCTGGCTCCTGGCTTTGGATAAGCTTATATCTGGCTGTTGCAGTCACTTGGGAAGTCTCTTCTTCTCTCTGTTTATCTGACTTACGAATAAAAATAAACTTTAAAAAATATTACATAACTTACATCTGTGCAATAGAATTGTATGTAACTGCTTAAAAGATACCATATTATAAAACTAAAAATCAAAAACAATTTGATGGGAAAATTACAAATGTTTGGAAATAAATACACTTCAAATCATGTATGAACTTTTTTTTAGACTATTGCAAAAGTTTATTAAAAAAACAAACCAAAAAATCCATGAAAATGTACATGTCCCAACTTTCACATCACACAATAGCAAGACCGGTTCTTCCGGAGAGGGGATCGGGATTTCTCTGCCGAACACTCATTATACTCGTTCCAAGGCTTCTAACATGATGATACTATTTCCTCATATTACCATCATGTATGAATCTTATATAAAGTTTCATGATTAATTAGACATATTTTGAACTAAATGAAAATGAAGATACAGCTTATAGCATTTGTGGGATACAGTAAAAAGTGGGAACCTTGACATATTAGATGCATATATTATAAAGAAGAAACATTTCAAATTAATCCTTCTAACTCCTATCTCAGGTAACTAGAGAAAGAAGAGCATAAACTTCTACAATTGCTTAAGAACCAAACTCCTGTAGGGAATCTCTTATTAAATACATGCCTGGGGGTCTGACATTGTTGCATGGCAGGTTAAACTGCTGCCTGTGATATAGCACATCCCACATGGACATGCTAGTTTGAGTCCAGCTGCTCTGTTTCCGATCCAGCTCTCTGCTAATGTGCCTGTGTAGGAAGCATAAGGCAGCCCAAGTGTCGGAGCCCTTGGCAACTACGTGGGAGATTAGGATGGAATTTCTGGCCTCTGGCTGTTGCAGCCATGTGGGGGAATGAACCAGCAGAGCTTTCCCTTCTGTCTCTCTCTGTGTCTCAGTCATTCGACCTTTCAAATAAAAGAAATAAGTCTTACACATATAAAATTATAAAAGAGTATATGTATAGACATTAGGTTGGGCAGAGCGAGCTGCGGGCCTGAGGCAGAGTGAGTCCAGGATGGGTCCTCAGGGCCTTATGTCCTCAGGAATGAATGGAGTGTTCTACAGGAACCACTCAGGCCTTGTGTCATTCCACTGGGAGGTGCACCCTGAGCTACAGACCACTTGCTCCAGGTCACACGCATGTACAAATTGAGGAGCTGCTGCCTTCTTCCACCCCCCTGCCTAAGGTGTATGAAAGTCCAGTCCTGTATACCCTGGACGGCCATCTCTGCCAACGAGCAGCCAGTAAAACAACTGCCTAAGCTAAAAAAGTTTCTCTTTCCTTCCTCTCAGTCATCCCTGAACCTAACTATATGTAACATAGATATACACACACTTCTTACTGCTTCTAGATCTCTCACTGAATCTTGACTATTACAAGTCAGGATATATAAAATGCCTTTGTAATAGCAAGAAACTGGGGAAAATGTAAATGTCCAATGTATGGGATTTATTAAATAGATTAGAGGGGGCAGGGCTTTGGGCCAGAAGTTAGGACGCCGGTTGGGATGCCTGCGTCCCACATGGGAATATCTGAGTTCAGTAGTTGGCTGTAGCCCCTAATTTCAGCTTCTCACCAATACAAATCCCTAGGGTATGCTGGGGGCTCAAGCGGTTGAAATGGAAGACTTGGATTGAATTTCCGGCTCTGTTATCGGTCCAGCCCAGGTTGTTTTAGGCATGTGCAGAGTGACTTAGCAGATGAGAGTTCTGTCTTTCTAACAAACAAGCAAAAATTTAAAAACTGCAAATTGTGGGCCTGGTGTGATAGTGTAGTGGTTAAGGTCCTTGCCATGCATGCCAGGATCCCATATGGGTGCTGGTTCTAATCCCAGCAGCCCTGCTTCCCATCCAGCTCCTTGCCTGTGGTCTGGGAAAGCAGTCAAGGATGGCCCAAAGCCTTGGGACCCTGCACCCGTGTGGGAGACCCGGAAGAGCTCCTGGCTCCTGGCTTCAGATTGGCTCAGCTCCAGCTGTTGTGGCCACTTGGGGAGTGAATCATCGGATGGAAGATCTTCCTCTCTCTCTCTCCTATTCTCTGTATATTTGACTTTGCAATAAAAATAAATAAATCTTAAAAAAAGAAAAAAACCCAGTAAATTGTGATAAACTATTAAAATGACATCACAGAAGCAGAAATTTAATTCCAGATAAACAGATCAAAATAGTTCATAAGTTTGTGGGGCACAAAGTATATGAGGACATTTGCATCTTTTTGCAGTGGTTAAAACTACATCTTTCTCAAAATATGTGGATGATTCTGAGTGTTATATAAATACGCACCAGCTATTAAAGGTCAGGGCATTCAAAAGAATACTTTGAATAAGAATTGTAATGGCAATAATTTAAAAAAAATTGAACATTTCTCAACTGGCAGCAGTTTGTTGATGAGTAAGATGGCAGACTACTAAAACAAAATACCTGGGGTCCAACTGTGGTAGCCTAGAGACTAAAGTCCTTTCCTTGCATGCTCCAGGATCCCAAATGGGAACTAGTTCTAATCCCAGCGACTCCACTTCCCATTAAGCTCCCTGCTTGTGGCCTGGGAAAGCAGTCAAGGATGGCCCAAAGCCTTGGGACCCTGCATCCATGTGAGAGACCCGGAAGAGGCTCCTGGCTTCAGATTGGCTCAGCTCTGGCCATTGTGGCCAGTTAGGAAGAGAATCATTGGATGGGAGATCTTTCTTTCTGTCTCTCCTCCTCTGTATATCTGACTTTCCAGTAAAAATAAATAAATATATTTTTTTAAAAAAGCAAAATACCAACTTCACTGTAACCTCAATGTATGCCAGTCAAGACAGGGAGTTAGAAAAGCAAATCTCAGTCTATCATATTTCATGGGCCATCTAGTCATTCAAGAAAGTTTACTTGGTGTCTCTGAACAAGAAAGAAGGTTCCTTGAAGAATCCCATGATCCAGTGCCAGAGGCAAACAGGAAAACAGACAGAAGAGCGTGAGGTCAGTGCTATATATACGCAGTTGTGTAGCTGAGCTGACTCAGCGGGACAGAAGGGACACAAACATGATGTTGGTAAACGGACACCAGCGATGAGCTCATCACGTCCTGCCCAGGACAGGCCGGCCGGTCACTGCTCCCCTTACCTCTTGTGCTGCTCTTCCTGATACTGCTGTTTCACTTTAGCTTCATTTTCTATTGCGTCTTTGATCTTTTCTTCAAGTTGTTTCTTCCTCAAAATACAAGCGTCTGTGAGACAGACTTTCTGGGCATATTCTAGTTTTTGCTGCAGTTCCAAAATCTTAAATGAAAAATGTTTCAAAACAGATTGTTAACAAGAGTAGGACCTTTGTTTGTTTTTCAAATTAGAGAAATAGAAAACAAACAGCAAACATGGCAGGACTAACATATAAATCCGTTCATAAGGTTGTGGTTAGGGCCCGCTGCAATGGGCCCTAAATCCTGCAATGGCTAAATCCTCAGTGGCTAAGCCTGGGAAAGCAGTAAAGAATTTCCCAAAGACTTGGGACCCTGCACCCATGTCGAAGACCTGGAAGAAGCTCCTGGCTGCTAGTTTTGGATTGGTTCAGCTCCGGCTGTTGAAGCCATTTGGGGAGTGAACCAGCAGACGGAAGACCTTTCTCCGTCTCTTTCTCTGCAAATGTGCCTTTCTAATATAAATAAATAAATAAAATTTTAAAAAGATTTATTTATCATTTTTATTGCAAAGTCAGATATACAGAGAGGAAGATTTTCTGTCTAATGGTTCACTCCCCAAGTGACCACAACAGCTGGAGCTGTGCCGATCCGAAGCCAGGAACTTGAAACTCCTCCAGGTCTCCCATGTGGGTGCAGGGTCCTAAGGCTTTGGGCCATCCTCGACTGCCTTCCCAGGCCACAAACAGGGAGCTGGATGGGAAGTAGAGCTGCTGGGATTAGAACTGGTGCCCATATGGGATTCTGGCACGTTGAAGGCAAGGATTTTAGCCACTAAGCAATCACGCTTGGTTCCTAAGAAAATTTTAAAGACCTGTAGTTTTTAGTTAGGTACTTCTTTCAAATGTGTTTATTCACTTTTTCACAAGAAAGTGTCACCTAAAATTGTGATTGGGGATGTGAATTGGATGTAATAGTTAATAGCCCATTTAGAACACCTGCATTCCATATCGTAGTGTGTGAGTTCAATCTCAGCTTTCGACCAATGCCAGGTCCCTGCTGATTCACACCCTGGTCACCAGCAGGTGATGGTTCACCCATGTGGCATACCTGGACTGAGTTCCTGACCTCTGATTTCAGCCTGGGCATGCTGTTGTTAAGTTTATTTAAAAGACGAGGAAATCAGAAACACATTCAGGTATAGAATGGGCGGGGGCGGGGGGAAGGCTGGAGAGAGATGTTTCTAGTTTCATCTGTGCCCAAGGGTTGCTGAAGCAGCTAGTTTTATATCATCTTCTGTAGCTACTTTCTGCTGTCCCAGGATGTAGGCCTTACATATCCTTGGTTCAGAAATCTCTCTCTCTCTCTCAACTTAGGAGCCATAGAGAGTGTTCCTCTGCACAGTCATGACCACTTTTGGAAGCTGCTGCCTTTTTTCTGTCTTTTGAAGAGGTATCTAAAGGCTTCAACTGGTTCACAGGGGCAGGCCGACTTGAGTCATCATTTGTGTGAGCCTGGGCGTGAACCTCTCCCCTGCACAGAAGTCAACATTGGAGGCAGCACATGTACTGTGTGCCAGGACACACCCATGTCTCCTGTCCCTGAGAATGGAGATCCTGTTGCCGGTTTCTTGGTAATGCCAGGGCCATCAGTGGACATCCTCCTCATCCTCAGGGTCCTGTTCTATTGGACCGTCCTCGACTGCTTTTCCAGGCCACAAGCAGGGAGCTGGATGGGAAATGGAGCTGTCGGGATTAGAACTGGCGTCCATATGGGATCCGGGCGTGTTTAAAGTGAGGACTTTAGCTGCTAGGCCACACCACCAGGTCCACAAAGCCAGATTTATTTAAGAGTGAGAGAGGCCTCCTGCCATAGCGACAGGAAGGGGCTCCAAGGAAGGAAAGACCCCGAGAAAGTGGTGGAACTAGTGTCTTTTATGCACTATCTCAGGAAGGGGGACAAAGGATAGAAAAAAGAGGGGACTCCATCCCAATGGGTAGCAGTATCTAGCACCTTGTTCAGAACAGAAAGGACATCAGAAGTGTGGGATGGTGGCTCCCCTCCCATTCTGATAAGCTGATAAATCAGGGGCGATTTCTTTGACAGTAACTCACATATGGGACTAGAATGGGCTGTGTCTCCTTGGTTTTGTCATGACAACAACAGTGATTGGAGCTGATATTCTAATTTTGTTCCTTTGCTCTTAAGGAGATTGAGCTAGATCAGGGAAAAGCCAGGCTGGGCTGATTGTTCCTACTGGTGTGAGCATAAATTAGAGTGGGCAAGGGTTGGTTGGGCTTTGCTGTAGTATCAGCTGGCAGTGGCTGGCACTGGGGGATAATTCTGTCAAGTTAAACCACAGAACCACCTGGAGAGTGCATAATCTGGGAGTGGGAGTGGCCTGGGAGGGAAATAGTGGGCACCTCCCTGTTGGGTTACCACTCCCCCTGGAGAGCACAAAAACCAGGACTGGGACAGCAGTGGCTGGACAGAACAGCACCTGCCAGTATGTGTGTGGGCTGGATAATAGTGCAGGTTGGGTTGAACTAGGCTTCAATTCCCATTGACATGTACGAGAGCTAAATGGGATGTGGGACAGACTGGACAAGCTTGCGGTACATAGTGGCAAGCATGGGAACCAGGGTAGGGGGGCAGGCCTGTTGGGGGAATGGGGAGTCGCTCCAACTAGGCTGCAGCTCCCACTGGTTTGCTCATCTCTTCCCTTATCCCAGATACAGAAAATAATAATAATAATAGTAATAAAGTGGTCTTACCCACTTTCCTGTAGCCCTTGACCCTTTGTGCCCTAATCAACTCTGTAAAAATTACCAAAATAAAAGAATTTTAAAAAAATATTTATTTGTTTTTATTACTTATTTAAGCCAGATATACAGAGAGGAGGAGAGAGAGAGAGAGGAAGATCTTCCATCCGATGATTCACTCCCCAAGTGAATGCAATGGCCAGTGCTGTGCCGATCTGAAACCGGGAACCAGGAAACTCTTCCAGGTCTCCCACACGGGTGCAGGGTCCCAAGGCTTTGGGCTGTCCTCAACTGCTTTCCCAGGCCACAAGCAGGGAGCTGGATGGGAAGTGGAGCAGCCGGGATTAGAACCGGTGCCCAAATGGGATCCCGGCGTGTTCAAGGCGAGGACTTTAGCTGCTAGTCCATGCTGCCGGGCCCAAAATAAAACAATTGTAAAAAATTTAAAAAACAACAAAACAAGGAACTTCATCAGGAATGAGAACCCTTAACTATCTGTCAGTCCATCTGATTCATCACAGTAGTACACTGCAGGGATGACCTGCCTGGGGCCCCAGCATCAGGCGCCTGGTCTGCCACTCCAGGCCTGCGCTTTGCTGCACCAAAATGCATACTGTCTAGGACCCTAAAGGCCACTAGCCCGTTTGCTTCCAGACCTGCACTTTGGCACACGCGGGGCGTGCCTAGGATCCAGAGGCCCTGACCTGTCCACTTCCTGCTGATAGTTTGGCATGGCACGGGTGCAACCTTCCTGGAATCCACGGGTAATGTGGGATTTTGAAACACAAGCAAATCATGCGGCTGCTTCCAGGACTCAGCTGGCTATCCTTCTTTCTGTGGCTACGGAATGCCATATGGATGCTATCCTGGCTGCTCCATTTCTAATTTAATTTCCTGCTGAGGCCTGGAAAAGTAGCAGAAGACGCCTCAAGTTTTTGGGTCCCTGCAACCTACTGAGAGACCCAGATGCTCCTGGCTCCTGGCTTTGGATCGACTCAGCCCTGGAGTTTGTAGGCATTTGGGGAGCCAGCCAGCAGAAGAAAGATTTCTTCCATCTCTCTGTAACTCTGCTCCTCAAAACAAAAATTAGGGAAAAAAAATGGAACCAGGTGATGGGAGAGCTCGCTCAGTTGTCTTCCTGTTTATCTCTTTCAAATAAACAAAGATTTTAAAAAGTGACTGGTTGGTTCATACGGTTGTTTTCCAGTGTAAATCATACTTTTTGACTTAAAAAATTCAATACTGGGCCCGGCGGCGTGGACTAGCAGCTAAAGTCCTCGCCTTGAATACGCCGGGATCCCATATGGGCACCGGTTCTAATCCCGGCTGCTCCACTTCCCATCCAGCTCCCTGTTTGTGGCCTGGGAAAGCAGTCGAGGATGCCCCAATGCCTTGGGACCCTGCACCCGTGTGGGAGACCCGGAAGAGTTTCCTGGTTCCCGGTTTCAGATCGGCACAGCACTGGCCATTGCATTCACTTGGGGAGTGAATCATCGGATGGAAGATCTTCCTCTCTCTCTCTCTCCTCCTCTCTGTATATCTGGCTTAAATAAGTAAATCTACAAAAAAAAAAAATTCAATACTACATTGCATCTGCTATAATGAATTCATTTTCACTGCTCTGATTGGGTAAATAACACTGCTTATTAACCGTCTTATGGCACCCTCTCCTCTCTCCTGTCTTCTGCCAGACACAAGAAAAATAGAAAGCAAGACTGGAAGGAGAGGAGTTGTCTTTTCTACTTTCCACCATTGCTTGACTCTTCCCACCCTAATTGGGGGTCCTCATAGGGATGCATCCTTCTCAACTATGTAAACATCATCAAAATAAAATAAAAATAAATCTACATAAAATTAAAATAATAAAAGTTATGGCAGAAGATGTGTGGGTTGTTTTTAGTTGTTTGGAAAAATGCTATTGTAAGAGGTGAGAAGAGCCAGTGGGTAGTCAGGGTCACTTCTCTGCTGAAATAAGAAACTAGCAGGGTAGTTTCTGTAAAAGTGTACAAGTTGGGCAGCTGTGGTGGCTAACAGGCTAATCCTCTGTCTTCCAGTGCTAGCACCCCCATATGGGTGCTGGTTTCTGCCCTGCTGCTTCACTTCTGAACGAGTTCTCTGCTTATGGACTGGGAAAGCAGTGGAGGATGGCAAACGTCCTTGGGACCCTGCACCCACGTGGAAGACCTGAAAGAAGCTCCTGGCTCCTTGCGTCGGATCGGCACAGCTCTGGCTGTTGCTGACACTTGGGGGAGTGAATCAACTGATGGAAGATCTTCTCTTTCTTTCTCTCTGTATATCTGACTTTCCAATAAAAATAAATCAATATGCTTACCACTGCCCAGAAGGTGCTTTTAGCGAGATAGATGTGCCATACCACCCTTCTGAATTTCATAAGACTGGAAAGCTGTTACCATTCAAACCCTTCTGGTAGCTTTTGTTTTATCCTGAGCAAACTAATCAGGATTACAATTCTGGCCTTCTGATGATGGGCTCTGTCTCTGCCTTGTTGCTGATTGTTAGTTATTATTCTGCTCACCTGCATTGTGCTTAAAAGACAAATACTTTCTTAGGCCTTTCTCTCTTGAAAATACCTTCCTGATGTTATAGTTGGAGCCTTCTATCTTTAATATTTAATGATTTTTGCCTTGCTCACTGAAATGGTCTATATGAAAATTCTTTATTCACATGGGACAAGTACTGAAGTTGTTTTCATCTTTTTGTGTGAAATTCCATGCAACATTACTATTAATTGTAATCCTTGGGTCCTGTGACATAGCTAGCTAATCTTTCTTTTCTTTGTAAAGATGTATTTATTTTTATTGGAAAGGCAGACATACAAGAGAGCCAGAAAGATCTTGCATCCAACCTCTGGTTCACTCCCCAAGTGGCCATTTGGAGCTAACCCGATCCAAAAGTAGGAGCCAGGAGGCTTTTCCTGGTCTCCTTGGCAGGCGCAGGGTCCCAAGGCTTTGGGCCATCCTCAACTGCTCTGCCAGGTCACATGCATGAATCTGGAAGAGAAGAGGATCAGCCAGGACATGAACCTGCAACCATATGGAATCCTGGGCATGCAAGACAAGGATTTTAGCCACAGGATACCGTGCTGGGTCCAGTTAGCTAATCTTTTACCAGTAGCACTGGCATCCCATGTGGGTACTGGTCTGTGTTCTGGCTGCTCCAGCTCCCTGTTTGTGGCCTGGAGAGGCAGCAGAGGATGGTTCATGTCCTTGGGCCCTTGTACCTACCCATGAGACCTGGAAGAAGCTACTGGTTCCTGACTTTGGATCAGTTCAATTCTGGTCATTGCAGCCATTTGGGTAGTAAACCAATGGATGGAAGAGCCTTCTCTCTCTCTGTTCTCTATTATTCTTTCAAATAAAAAGAATTAAATGTTTTTTAGAAACCATGATTATAATCCCGTGTTCTGATATATATGTGTATCATAATAGTCTTTTTAGTATTTCTTCCTAGTAGAAGTGTTGTGTTGTATGATATACCTTAGCTGACCATACAATGCCAAATTGCTTTTGTTTTTTTTTTAAAAAAAGATTTATTTATTTTTATTGGAAAGTCAGATACACAGAGGGGAAGAGAGACAGAGAGGAAGATCTTCCATTGATGATTCATTCTTCAGGCAGCCACAACAGCTGGAGCTGTGCGTATCTGAAGCCAGGAGCCAGGAATTTCTTTCCGGGTCTCCCACACAGGTACAGGGTCCCAAGGCTTTGGGCCATCCTTGACTGCTTTCCCGGGCCACAAGCAGGGAGCTGGATGGGAAGCGCGGCCACTGGGACTCAAAACAGTGCCCATATGGCATCCTGGTGTGTACAAGGTGAGGACTTTAGCCACTAGTCTACCGTGCTAGACCCCCAAATTGCTTTCTAAAACATTTATACAAATTTGTTTCATATATTTATTTACTTATTTTTATTTAGAAAGGCAGAGCTAGAACAGAGAGAGAATGAGAGACAGAGAATCTTGCATGTGCTGGTTCATTCCCCAAATGGCCACAATGGCCAGAGCTGGGCCTGTTTAAAGTCAGGAGACAGGAGCATATTCTGGGTCTCCTATGCAGATGCAACGGCCCAAGCACTTGCACCATCTTCTGTCATTCTCCCAGGAGCATTAGTATGGAGCTGGACTAGAAATAAAGCTGCAGGGACATGAATTGACACTGACAGGGGATGCCAGCACCAGAGGAAGGCTACTGGTACTGGTCCTGTCCTGTCTGCATTTAAAAAAGGTGATCAATCTTCATTAGGCACACCAATTTTTTATTTTTTGTAAAAACCAACTTATGTATAAATATACATAAAAGACAAAGTGAGAGAAGCAAAGACAGATCTTGCATTCACTGGTTCGCTCCCCAAATGGCTTCAACAGCCAAGCCCGAGCCAGGCCAAAGCCAGGAGCCAGGGACACCATCCTGGTCTCCAACATGAGCTGGAAGCACATGGATCATCTCCTGCTCTCTTCCCAGATGTGTTGGTGGGAATTTGGATTGGAAGCAGAGCTCCAGCCAGGGTTTCTAATACAGGCTGTGATCGCCTCAACTGGCATCTTAACCTTCGCACCAGACAACCACTCCAGATTTTTTAGTTTAATTCAGATTGTTATTGTCGATTTTTAAATTATTTGCTTTATATATCATTTGATGCAATTATTTGAGTTTTTTTTTAAAGACTTATTTATTTTTTATTGGAAAGGTGGATATACAGAGAGGAGGAGGGACATAGAGAGGAAGATCTTCCATCCGATGGTTCACTCCCCAAGTGTCTGCAACGGCTGGAGCTGAGTAAATCCGAAGCTGGAAGCCAGGAGCTCTTCCAGGTCTCCCACACTGGTGCAGGGTCCCAAGGAATTGGGCTGTCCTCAACTGCTTTCCCAGGCCACAGGTAAGGAGCTGGAAGGGAAGCAGGGCTGTTGGGATTAGAGCCAGCACCCATATGGGGTCCCAGCGCGTGCAAGGTGAGGACCTTAACCACTACGCTATCCTGTCAGGGCCAATTATTTGAGTTTTGACTGTGACCAACTTATACATAAGAATGTGTAATCATTATATACTACTGCCACCTGGTGTATGACACCCTAAAATGCAAGGACAATACTTGGTAAAAAAAAAAAAAAAAGGTTCATTTTATTGACAACACTGATTTCTTTAAAAAGTCACCCCGTTAAAAGAGTCATGGGCCGGGCCTGGTGTGGTAGCCTAGTGACTAAAGTCCTTGCCTTGCATGTACCAGGATCCCATATGGGCACCAGTTCTAATCCTGGCAGCTCCACTTCCCATCCAGCTCCCTGCTTGTGGCCTGGAAAAGCAGTCAAGGACAGCCCAAAGCCTTGGGACCCTGCGCTCGCATGGGAGACCTAGAAGAAACTTCTGCTCTTGAGTTTGCATCAGCTCAGCTCCAGCTGTTGCAGCAACCTGGGGAATGAACCAGCAGTTAGAAGATCTTTTGTTTCGTTTCTCATTCTCTCTGTAAATCTGACTTTCCAATAAAAATGAAATAATTTTTTAAAAAAAGTAATATACATAGTCATCCAGATTAGAGAATAAGGCATTTTAAAACTTAAATTAGGGCCCGGCGCGGTGGCGCAAGTGGTTAAGGTCCTCACCTTGCATGCCCGGGATCCCATATGGGTGCCGGTTCTAATCTCGGCGGTCCCGCTTCCCTTCCAGCTCCCTGCCTGTGGCCCGGGAAAGCAGTCGAGGACGGCCCAAAGCTTTGGGATCCTGCACCCGCGTGGGAGACCCGGAAGAGTCTCCTGGCTTCGGATCAGCATAGCATCGGGCCGTTGCGCTCTCATCGGACGGAAGATCTTCCTCTCTGTCTCTCCTCTCTGTATATCTGCCTTTTCAATAAACAAAATAATAAAAATAATCTTAAAAAAAAACTTAAAAGTAATAATTGGAAAGCAAATCCCATATGGGTTCAGTCAGTTTTTTAAGTTCACATTATAATTTCAATGAAATTTATTTAATTTAAAAAATTCATTTTTGGAACAGGCAAAATTATATAAAGAGAGAGGAAAACAAAGTAAAGATAAAATAGATTTGTATTTAGTACATACAACAGCTACTTCTTTTTTTTTTTAAGATTTATTTTAATTTTCATTGCAAAGCCGGATATACAGAGAGCTGGAGAGACAGAGAGAAAGATCTTCTGTCTGATGATTTACTCCTCAAGTGACCTCAACAGCTGGTGCTGTGCTGATCCGAAGCCAGGAGCCAGCAACTTCCTCCAGGTCTCCCATGTGGGTGCAGGGTCCCAAGGCTCTGGGCCGTCCTCGACTGCTTTCCCAGGCCACAAGCAGGGAGCTGGATGGGAAATGGAGCTGCTGGGATTAGAACAAGTACCTATGTGGGATCCTGGCGCTTGAGGGTGAGGACTTTAGCTGCTAGGCCACCGTACCAGGCTCCACATCTACTTTTTAAATCGTTAGAGAAGCAGGACTTCAGTACCGGTACCCAGTCCCCTCTATACCAAGTAGGAAGTTGCTTACCTTTTCCTCAGCACTGGCGACTTTCGCCTTCTCCTGAGCCAGCCTTTCCTGTAGCGTGCTCTGAGCTTTGATGCTTTGAGCCTGTTTGAGTCCTTCCAGCTCCAGTTCCTTGATCTTCTGCTGACACTGCTTCCACTCGGCCGTGAGGGAGGAGTACGTCCGCGTGCTGTCCAGTAACTTCTGTTGGGCCTGCTGTAGTTCAATTTTCATCTACAAGTGGAGAATCGATGTGACTGATAACAATAGGGATGGGATGGATGGTTCTATGAGCCAGAAGGAGCGGCTTTCAAAGGCGAGCACACAGCTAAAGCTGAGCACTGCAGAGCCACGTGTACCACATGTACTGAGCACCTTCCTGGACCTGCCATGCACCTGTCAGGTTTGTCCCAGTTCATCTAGTCAGGTGGAGGTGGATCAAGCGGTTCTCCTAAGGGTTTCTACACATGTGGAGTTGAAGCATTTTCACCTTTTCTTGTATTCACTCCAAGGTGGATTTATTTCTTTTAAAAGATTTACTTACTTATTTGAAAAAGCAGAGGGAGAAGAGAAACAGAGAGATCTTCCATTCCCTGGCTTTTTCCCTAACTGCCCCCAATGGCCATGACTAGGTCAGGTCAAAGAAAGGTACCTGGAATTCAATCCAGGTCTCCCAAATGGGTGGCACAGATCCCGGTATCTGAGCCCTCACCTGTTGCCTCCCATGGTGTACACTGGTGGGAAGTGGATCAGAAGTGAGTTGGGACTGGATCCCAGGTTGTTCCAAGCAGCGACTTGACTAATGCTAAAGCAACCAATGTCTGTTCTGAGGACGGTGTTTTTTATTTATTTATATATTTTTAAAGATTTATTGACTTAATTATTTGAGTTGCAGAGAGAGAGAGAGAAAAAGTGAGTGAGCGAGAGATAGAGACATCTCATGTTAACTTCCACCCCCCTGGTTCACTCCCCAGATGGTTTCAAGCCAGTGCTGGGCCAAGCTGAAGCAAGGAGCTTCATCTGGGTCTCCCATGTGCGTGGCAAGGGTCACCCTGGCTACCTGAGCCATGCTCTGCTACTTTCCCAGGCCATTAACAGAGAGCTGGATCAGAAGTAGCACAGCCAGAACACAAACCAGCACCTGCACGGGATGCTGGCATTACAGGTAGGGGCTATACCTGCTTTTCCATGCTACAAGCCAAAGGGTGCATTTCTCATATTCTTGACCAGAGTAGGTGGTTAATCAGTAATCCATGGACAAGTAAGTGAATGAAATCGGAATCCGGTGAATGTGTGTATTAGTCAGGGAAATCTCACATATTAAAACGATGAAAGAAAAATTATTTTGTCTTCATGGAAAGCAGTGTTTTCCAATTTCAAGCCTTTTCAACCAAGTTAATGGGAATTATGACTGTAATATTGTTCACCTTTGGCTTCTATGGATTAGCCAGAATATATCAAGTGAATCTAAAAGTTATTGATGTTCAAACTCATTCAGTATCAATTTCTTCATCTGTAACGTGGGGATAATTGTTGCTTGACAGGTTATCTATGAGACTAGTAAGTGAAATGAAGCAGTTAGAACACAAACAATGGAGACAGGTGCATAGGACACAACTAGTAAAGGTTAGATGGTGATGGGGTGGACATTTGGCACAGTGAGTAAGTCGCTGCTTGGAGTGTCAACCTGAATGCCTAGTTCTGTTTCCAGTTATTCTATTTCTGACTCAGCTTCATGCTAACGTGTTCTTGAGAGGCAGCACTGATGGCTGGAGTCCTTGGGTCCCTGAGACTTGGGAAGTGTTGTGGGCTTCTAGCTTTGGCCTATTGGGTGCATTTGGGGAATGAACTAGTAGATGGAAGATGGCTCTTCTTCTTTCTGCCGTTCAAATACGTTGTATCTTCTGGGGCTGGTTCTGGGGCATTGTATGCTAAGCCATAGCTTGGATTGCTGGTATCCCATATGGAGCAGGTTTGAGTCCCAGCTGCGTTACTTCTGATCTAGTTCATTTCTTATGGCATGGGAAAGTAGCGGGGGATGGCCCAATTGCTTGGGTCCCTGAACCCACATGAGTTCAGGAAGAAGCTCCTGCCTCTCAGATTTGGGCCAGTCCAGCTCTAACCATTGTGACATCTGGGGAATGAACCAGAGGGTGGAAGATCTCCCTGTCTCTCCTTCTCTCTCTGTAACTCTGTCTTTCAAATATCAGATAAATAAATAAGTCTTAAAAAAAAAGTTAAAGGTCACCTACAGGATATTTACTGTATTTGATTTATATATTTTAGTATATTTATATATGTTATATATATACAAATTTATACATGCTGAATCTTCATATCTATGAAATTGTTGGGATTGTTCATTTACACATTTTTAGAGATTAAAAAACTATCACATAAAGTAGGCAAATAAACAGACTTTATTCTAATTTTGTAAAGACTTTTTAAAAAATTTCAGTTATACAGAGCAAGCAGAAAGAGAGAAAGTGAGAGAGAGCACGAGAACGCTTCCATCTATTGGTTCACTCCCAAAATAGCTGTAATGACCAGGACTGGGCCAGGCTGAAGCCAGGATTCTGGAATACATGTCTAGCGATACTAATTTAGGGAAATGCAAGATAGCATATGTAACTAACAAGAAAGTAAAAAGAATCATCACTATATTAAACAAAACAACAAGTAGGGCCATTGTGATGCAGCCAGTTAATCTGCCACTTGCAGCATCAGCATGCCACATGGGCACAGTCATTCCCCTTTTGATCCAGCATCTGCTCATGTGCCTAGGAAAGCAGCAGATATACGGTTCAAATGCATGGGCCCCTGTGAACTATGTGGGAGTTTCAGGTGGAGTTCTGGGGTGCTGGCTTTGGTCTGACCCAGCCCTGGCTGTTGTGGTCCATTTGGAGGAATAATCTGACATGTAGAAAGTGTCTGATTTTAAGTAAAAATCAATCTTAAAAACAAGTTTCTGGGGCTGGTCCTGTGGCATAGCAGGTAAAGCAGACACCTGTGATGCTGGCATCCCACACGGGCACCAGTTGAATCCTGGCTGCTTCATTGTCCAATGGGCTGGGAAAAGCAGCAGACAATGACCCATGCGCTTTAGCATACTAATGGACTGAAAATTACTCTCAAATAATTTCATGAAATTCATCATGCATTTATCATAAAACATTGAGCAAACTAACACAGTAATGAAATTTCCTTAATGTGGTTTTTAGAAAGTCTAAAAAGCTTACCAAAACATACTAAGAATGTGAGGGTTCTTCCTTTGAGATTGGGGATGAGAAACTGATCCTACTATCACCAATTCTACTCAGCATTGTGAGGTTACTAGCCAGTATGCAGACCAAAAAGAAAAGAATGAAAAGGATCATTTTCGCAAGAAAAAAAAATCACCTTTTATTCTTCAGATAATATGCCTACTTGCCTGGATTTCCTAAAATCATACCTATAAATAATAAGAAAATATAGCAAAAAATTGTATTGGAAAAAGATGAAGTACATTTTTACATATTGGAAATAGTTAAGACAATGAGATTTTTACAGCGTTACTACTTAGAAAATACTGATGCTTAGGACTATGTCCAAAAAAAGTATGTGAGAATTTTGAGAGAAACTAAAGACTAGCTACACTTCACAAATTAGAAGTTTCAATATTTTAAAAGATTAAAGCATTTCCCATTCAGTACACATTGAACTACAGATTCAGTGTAATTCCAACTGAAATCTGTCTAGATGGAGTGAGTATATGCATGTGTGTGTAAGTTCATGAGGGTATGTGTGCACAGCTTAACAAACAGATTACAAAATTTACACAGAACTTTAAAAGGCCTAGAATAACCCAGATATCCTGGAGTAAGAACAATGTGAAAACGTTGGCTCTTTCTAATACTAATATTGATCTAGAGCTACCGTCACTGACAGTGTGGTACTGGCACAAGGAAAGGCAGGCTGAACAATGGGGCAGGTTGGCGAGCTTAGAGCCCTCCCACCCCGCCCACTAATCTTTTTATGACCCAGGTAACAACATAAACCAATTTGCTTTCCAGAAAATTGAATATCACATAGAAAAAAGCCCCAGTATACAGCAAAATAAACTCTAATAAATTTAAGATTTGGAGTTGAAACATGAAGCTTTTAGAAGACAACGTAGGAGAATCTGCTTATGGCAAAGATTTTTAAAATCAGACCTCCGAAAACACTAACTATAAAGGAACGCAGATGCAGATGGCTCACCTAGTGGTTAATATGCCTGCTTTGCGACAGAGTTCCTGGGCTTGATACCAGGCTCGTGATCCTGACTCCAGCTTTCTGCTACTGCAAGCCCTGGGAGAGGCAGCAGTGAGGTGTCAAGTAACTGGGTTTATGCCACCTACAAAGGAAACCTGGCAGCGTCTGGAACTCCATAGGGGTCTTCCCCATGGGTGACCCATCACCTGTTTCATCATAGAGCGTGCAGTAGCAGGAGGCTGGAATCAGAGGTGAAGCTGGGACTGCATCCTAGACACTCCAATATGGGGCAGCAGCATCCTCAACAGTGACTGAACCAGTGTGCCAAGTGCTTGCTCCTGGGTGGATCATTTTGAACATTTTTTTGGTGGTACATAAAATGTAGATGAATCTGTATATGGCAGTTCTATATACATTATTTTTATGTATTAATCTAAATGGGGGTATAGAGATTAAAAAAAAAAAGAAGAAGAAGAAAAAACACACCTTCTCATCCACTGCTTTATTCTCTATTTGCCTGAAATGTTCTTACCGAGGGCCAAAACTGGGAGCCAGGAACTCGATTTAGTCTCCCATGAGGATGGCAGGAACCTAGCTGAGCCTGCTGCCTCCTGGGGTCTGCCCTGGCACAGGCAGGAGATGGAGTTGGAGCCAGCATCGAACACAGGCACTCCAAAGTGAGACCGACTGGCGTCTTACTGGCTAAACACCCTCCCCTACACAGGTCATAGGAAAACGAGCATGTTTGGGGATGTCCCCTTCACTTCTGAATGCTCTTGTGATAGGAAAAATAACTTTTCCCCCCAAGGAATATTATCTTGGTGTAGTTGACACTTGATAGGACCAATCATAATAGATATATCTGTCAGGGATCCGTGATAAACAATTAGGGCAGGACACTCTAGCATTTTGCTTTAGTTCATTGAAATTTAGTAAATGCTAAAAATTCCAGATAATGATTTAAAAAGGTTGTATCGTTTATTTCCAGGTTTATGTGTTTATTTGAGAGATGTGCGGAGGGAGAGGGAGTGAGGGAGTGCTCTCATCTGCTGAGCTGCTCCCTGAACATCTGAGAGAGCTGCGGCTAGACTGAGCACTAAGCTAGGCAGCAGGAATTCCATCCGGGTCTCCCATGTGAGTAGCAGGTACCCAGCTATGTGAGCTTTCCCACAGTCTGCACTGGCAGGAAGCCGGAGTCTGGAGCAATGGCTGGATATAAAACTAGGTACTTCAATAAGCGAAGTGTTAATTTTATTTGCTAGGGCACATGCTGGCCCTAAGATTGCATAATTTTATTTACTTATTATTATTTTAAAAACTAAATTTTATTTTTTATAATGATTATACAGTTGATCAGGGTGGGAAAAATTGAAGTTTAGGGAAAATTGGGTGTAGTCATTGCTTCCAAATTTGCTATTTCTTTTTGTTGTTTTTGGGGGAAGGGGAAAGACAAAGGGGGAACCACTCATGACTTTCGCATGTCTCAGGACTGTACAATTTTAAATCTTTCTGTTTACAGATTGATGGTGTGAACAGCCCTTAAATAGCAGAGAAATGGTTGAGTTCCGTCCTTATTTAGCAGGGAATACATAAGGAGGAAGGAACCAGGTTCAAATCGCCCACACATCTGTGAGTCTTGCCATGAATAATAAAACGAAAGACTTTTGTTTCTTGCCAATGCCAACTGAGACATTCAATAAAGGATATGCCCACTGGAGTTACCTTAATGCCCTCCTCTTGCAGTAAACTATTATGCTGCTTTAGGTCCAAGTTCCTCCCTCGCTCATATTGCAGCTCTTTTTCAGCAGAGTTGCAAAGGATCTGGAGCCGGTGCAAATTTTGGCGCAGTTGTTGTACTTCCTCTTGCTGCTGGCATTTCAGTTTCTCTCCAGATCGTGGATACTACAGCAAACATTTAAAAGAGAAACAAGAGGCAATTTCAAAGATTATTGGTAAAATAGCATCAAGCTTTCAGAATGATCAGAGTGGGAATTTTTTTCTGAAGCATTTTGCTCTATCTTTTAAATCATGCTTTTGTTCTTTTAATGGTTGCTTTAACTCATTCATTCATTAATTTGAGAGGCTGAGAGTACACACGAAACACTCCCATCCATTGGAGCCCTCTACCATGCCAGGGCCCTGTGGAGCATTCTGAGAGTTCTGTTTATGTGCTTTCAACAGATATTGTTGCTCAACGGATGAGGAAATATTTTCGAGGTCGACTGGCTGTCATAATTCACCTTTGAGTCTTCTTCAGCCCAGAAATTTGCTATCAAGTTTCACTGGGGTAGTTGATCGGTTTGTTCTGCCCTCCATCCTCACCAAACCAATGGGTGCTGTGAAGTAGCCCAGCCCTGCCCAACACGTGCTTGGCTTTCATGTGCCACAGGGGAAGCTGCAGCCCAGATGGAGTGACTAGGTTGTTTCTACAACTTGGCTTTGGGGATTTCTGGATTATATGATACCTGTATTTTTATTTCCATAATTTTGGGTATCAGTCCCTTATTAGATCTGAAAGAGAGATACAGAGAGAAAGATCTTTCACCTGCTGGCTCATTCCTCAAATGGTTGCAATGGCTAGGACTGAGCTGATTTGAAGCCAGGAGCCAGGAGCTTCCTCTGGGTCTCCCACTTGGGTTCAGGGGCTCAAGGACTTGGGCCATCCTCTGCTGCTCTCCCAGGCCATAAGCAGGGAGCTGGATGGCAAGTAGAGTAGCTGAGATACAAACTGGCACCCATATGGGACGCTGGCTCTTACAAGGAGAGGATTATCCTGTGGAGCCAATTTGCCAGCCCAGAATAAGAACAACTTAAACCTTTTATTTTCTGAACTGAATTTTGTTAGAATTCAGTAAAACTCTAAAAGGTTATGGGTTATACTGAACTATTTGCTCTTTTATAAAATGCCTAGAGCAATTACTTCTAATGCTCCACCTTACATGTTCTTAAAACACGCTGGTCATTTTAAGCTCCAGGACTTGGCAGCCCTTGTGGGCTGTGTGTTCCAAGGCTACATGTTCAGCCTTCGCTCAGGCCTCCCACTCTAGCCCACATCCAGCAAGCTGGGAGTCAGAACAGTAACCCTCTCATGAATATTTCATGCCACACTCCTCGCTGGGTCTTCTGAACTAATCCAGTGACACCCTCTCCTCTCAAACATGCATGGGAACCTTCTTTCACACATACATTTTTGTTGTTTGCTGTGGGTTGCCTAGTCTTCAAACTCCACATCTGAATTTCTTTTCAAATATATTTTTGGCTTCACTAACGTTGACTTTTTAATTCCAAATGAATGCTTGAATCCCTTTTCACATGTAAATTATCAGGCTTTTGAAGTTGGCTTTCTTAACCCTACAAAGGCATCCCTCTGTGGATCTCAAAATCCCTTCTAGAAAGAGGTAGGAAGTGAAATCTTAGCTAGTACAGGAGTCTGCAAAATAGAGATATTAAGAACTTTCATGATTGTGGTCATTCCTATTATTTCTCCCACAAGCAGCTCTCTAATAAATAGCAAAAACCATCTGAATATAGTTGTGTGTCTATAATCTTTTACTTGCGAAAATAAAGTACTTTATATAGCCAGTTGCACGTCAAGTCAGAAGAGGTGACACCTCTCCTGACATTCCCTTATCCCACCAGTTCAGGGCAGACATCAGCAATTAATCAGCAATTTTTCCTGATGAGCTTAGATGGAGCTCAAGAATTATTCTTATATTTTAAAAAGATTTTCTTTTTAATTGGAAATGCAGATTTACAGAAAGGAGAGGCAGAAAGATTTTCCATCCTCTGGTTCATTCCCCAAGTATCTGCAGTGGCTAGAGCTGAACTAATCTGAAGCTAGGAGCCAGGAGCCAGGAGCCAGGAGCCTCTTCATATCTCCCATGCAGGTGCAACGTCCCAAGGCTTTGGGCTGTCTTTTACTGTTTTCCCAGGCCACAAGCAAGGAGCTGGAAGGAAAGTGGAGCAGCTGGGATTAGAACCAGTGCCCATATGGGATCCCGAGCAGCTGGGACACGAACTGGCACCCATATGGGGTTCCAGCACGTGCAAGGTGAAGATTTAGCCACTAGGCTATAGTGCCAACCAAGCCCAACATGTCCTTGTTTTTGAGACTAGATAGAAACAGGACTCATCAAAATCCAGTTCCTTTGGGGCTTACATAATGGCTCCATTGTGTAATCCTCTCCCTGCAAGGGACAGCATGCCCAGTGGGAGCCAACTCGTGTCCCAGCTGCTCCACTTCCCATCCAGCTCCCTGCCTGTGGTCTGGGAAAGCAGTTGAGGACGGCCCAAGTTCTTGGGACCCTGCACCTACATGGGAGATATGAACGAGGTTCCTGGCTCCTGGCTTGGCTCCAGCTCTCCGTGGCCATGTAAGGAGATGGAAGATATTTCTCTCTCCTCTCTGTAAATCTGACTTTCAATAAGCCTTTTTCTTTCTTTCGTTCTTCTTTTTTTTTTTTTAGCTCCAGGTTTCAGCTCCAGCTGGACTGGCTCTGTGAGCCAGCAGATGAAAGCTTTTTCTGTGTCTTCCTAATTATGAGAAATCAGACAAACAAACAAAAAACCCCCTGACACACACAACCCCCCCCCCAACAATTTGATATATATATCCACCTCCCAACTTAATTATCTATCCTTCTCTAGCTTTAAGGCAATCAGGAGCAGGTACCCTAGCCATGAAAGATCCCCCACTGCACTGTTATGGCTTTCAACTGGTGCACATGTTCAGGATGGCTCAATGTGGCTGACAGGTGACTCTCCTGGGTTGTTGGCAGTGATGAGCACCATCCATCAGAGCAATATGTGTGAAAAGGGAAACAAAAAACCAGAAACAACCAACAGTGACTACGCAAGACACTGAGCAGGGTGCACACCAAAGTGGCATGTGTTACAGGGGTGAGCCAGACCAAAGTGCCATGTGCCAAGAAACCACCACAGTCTCCCAACGCCATGGACAGATCTGCTCCATTCTCAGAATGGAGCCAGTGAGCAGAACCTTCTCCTGTCATGCTGCCTCCCTTGTGCTTGCACACAAGCCTCCCAGTAACCTTATTTGGGTTGCCCGTTGCATTCTTATTAATACCTTTTTTAAAAGATTTATTTATTTATTTATTATTTTTTTAAGATTTATTTTTGTTATTTTTTTATTGGAAAGGCAGATATACAGAGAGGAGAGACAGAGAGGAAGATCTTCCATCCAATGATTCACTCCCCAAGTGAGCCGCAACGGCCGATACTATGCTGATCCAAAGCCAGGAGCCTCTTCTGGGTCTCCCACGCGGGTCTCCCACTGCACCACCGTGCCGGGCCCAAGATCTATTTATTTTTATTGCAAAGTCAGAAATATATATATGAGGGCCCGGCGTGGTGGCGCGGTGGCGCAGTGGTTAAGGTCCTCGCCTTGCACACCCGGGATCCCATATGGGCGCCGGTTCTATCCTGGCAGCCCTGCTTCCTTTCCAGCTCCCCGCCTGTGGCCTGGGAAAGCAGTTGAGGACAGCCCAAAGCTTTGGGACCCTGCACCCGCGTGGGAGACCTGGAAGAGGCTCCTGGCTTCGGATTGGCATAGCATCATATCGGCCGTTGCGCTCACTTGGGGAGTGATTCATCGGACAGAAGATCTTCCTCTCTGTCTCTCCTCTCTGTATATCTGCCTTTCCAATAAAAAAAATAATAAAAATAAATCTAAAAAAAAAGAAATATATATATGAGAGAGAGAGAGAGAAGAAGGAGAGACAGAGAGGAAGATCTTCTTGTCCGATGATTCACTCCCCAAGTGACCACAACAGCTGGAGCTGCGCCGATCCAAAGCCAGGCGCTCTTCTGGGACTCCCATTTGGGTGCAGGTTCCCAAGGCTTTGGGCCATCCTCAACTGCTTTCCCAGGCCACAAGCAGGGAGCTGGATGGGAAGTGGGGCTGCCGGGATTAGAACTGGTACCCACATGGGATCCAGCATCCTTGTTAATTCTTCCATCCAAGTACTAAACAGGCATCCTTGTTAATTTTAATCTTCAAGTAAGCCAAAGAACACAGGATTGGCAGCAGTTCTGCCTGGAAAATGCCTGGCTTGACGGCCAGCTCAGGCTCCGGATTCTGGCCTCCTGCTCATGCAGGCTCTGGGGGGTGTGTAGTTGGTGATGGTTCAAGTAGTTGGGTTATTCTGCTCATGTGGGAGACCTGATTTCTACCTTCAGCTTTGGCTTAATGTTTTTTTTTTTTTAATTTTGAAATTTATCATACAATTCTATATAATCTGGGATTCCTCTCCTCCCATTTTCTGCCCCCAATTGATTTTTCCCACATTGTCACACTCTTCAAAGGAGTTTCAATTCCATCAGTCTGCTATTTAAGTGAGCCCTGACAATAGTGGTACATACAATGTCCAGGCAGTCCATCAACCCATTGTCCAGATATATCCAACACTTTCATTGGGAGTCTATCTTTTGTTTGGAAGCAGAGATGCACGTTGCATTATGTCTTCACTTCTGGATATGATAGTCTTCATTACTGCACCACTATACATTCCAATTTGCACGACGGATTCCTTATATTAGAGAGAACATTTTCTAGAGAGGCATTTTCTCTTTTTGATTGACTTATTCACTGAGCATAATGGTCTCTAGTTGGAACCATCTAGTTGCAAATTGTATAATTTCATTCTTTTTAATGTTGGCCTAATCTTGACCGCTAAGAGCATTTCTGGGGTGAAACAGCAGACTGGGGAGTGTTAGGCTTTGTTTCTGTTTCTCTCTTGCTCTGTCTCAAATAAATAAATGAACTAATAAATACAACATTTTAAAGTGTTTATGCTTGCATCCAGTAGCAGGAAATGGATCCATCTAAGTGTCTGTGACACCTACCTGGGCACAGCTGTCATCTGAACTATCCCCAGAGCTCTGGGAGTGCAGCAGGCTCTGGTCGATATGGCTCAGCTCTTGTCTAAGCCTCACCACCTCCTCAGCCTTCATGATCAACGGCTCTTCTGCATCTTTCTCATCTTGGTTCTGCTGGCAGTCCTCTTCCTCCTGCCTCTCTCTCAGGACCACACCCTCCTGTACTGACTCCTCTGCAATTTCCTTCTGTTCACTTTCTCCTAATGTGGGACTTGGTGCAAATACAACAATAAAAAGCGTTATGTCCACCTTGAATGCTTCAGCAGAGTAATCTTATTCTCACAAATAACCCTTAGAAAGTCCCATTTATTATATTCAGGGAGATGACCCATCACAGACCTTAATTTACCAAAAACAACCATTTTAATGAGTTTTACACTTTTCAACTGGGCAGATATATGTTGTCAAGATTAAAAAACTACTCTAAAATAAAATTAGGTACTTTGGCAAACACTAGGTTTACAGTAAGACAAACTCTGACTTCAAGGTTTATAGTTCAGTGAAAGGCAAAAACAAGTATCAAGCAAGGAGATAACATGTATCGTAGCTTCAGTGATCCCTCAGTCTCCATGGCTGACTGGTCCCAGCACTCCTGCAGATGGCAAAATCCAACAATACTGAAGACTCTGATATAAACTGATGTAGCATTGGACATAACCTACACACATCCTCCCATACAGTTTGAATCATCTCTAGTATTACTTATAATAATGAATACAATGTAAATTTTACTTAAATTCGCTATTATTCTATGTTATTCAAGCAATAATGCAGGGAACAAATTCTGTACATTGTTAGTACAGGTGCAATTTTAAAATGCATTTAATTTTCAAATTGAAATGAAGAGTGACAAAGAAAGACAGAGAGAATATCCCTCCATTTGGTTCACTTTCCAAAAGCCCCTAACAGCTGACACTAGACTAGACCAAAAGGAGGAGCTAGGATCTCCATTTGGGTCTCCCACATGGGTGGCAGGGGCCCAATACTTATGTTATCACCTGTTCTCTCCCTGGTTCATTAGTAGGAATCTGGATGGAAAGGGCAGAGTAGCTGAACACGAAACTGGGAACCCCAAATTGGAATGTGGGTGTCCCAAGCAGCAGCCCGACGTGCTGCACCACAAAGCCTGTACCTGGACATAATTTTGTTAAAAGTATTTTTGATCCATCATTGGTTGAATCTGTGGATGCAGAGCCTGCGGAGGCACACAGGGAACTGAAACATGAGGTCTGACGGATGAGTAGAGACAATAATACATGTAACGGTAGAAGTGTGTGTATATGAACAGTCTTCCAAAAGTTCATGGGAGCAGACTTTTCGTACAGCGGTGAAGTCACTCTGTGTGACACTCACATTCTATACTGGAGTCTTGGCTACTCTGCTTCAGCTCCAGCTTCCTGCATGCCAACAGATGATGGTGGCTCAAGTACCTGAGTCCCTGGCATCTACATGCAAGAACCAGGCTCAATCATGGGTTCCTGACTTGGCCTACTCGCATGGGAGACCTACTCGCAGGTTAGGGTTCCTGGTTCCTGGTTTCAGCCTGGCTCAGCACTGCTTTTACAGGCATCTGGGAAGTAAACTTACAGATACAAGACCTCTTCTTCTCTCTCTCTCTCCATATCTCTTTTTCCTTCTGCCTTTTGATTAAATAAATTAACCATTAAAAAAAAAAAAGACAGAGGAGTGAAGTCATGGAAGACACCTGGATTTTTGTCTGGGGCAAAAAGGCAAGAGCAAAGCAGGTAAATGTGGGATATGGAGTGAAGAGGTGGCGAAGGAAAAGACACAGGGGCTGAATACTGTGACGTCAACACTGGTTTGGGTAAGACCACCCAGGAAGAAGAGAGAAAGTGGGGTGAGGAGAGTCATCTTGGAAAGAAGATTAAAACCTTATGAGGAACAAGCAGAGGAGTCTGAGGAGTCCAAGGAAGGAAGAGAGGGGACCACGAACCACAGAAACCAAGAAGAGGAAATGGGCCTGGTAAGATCAGAGAATGTGAAGGAAGAATAGGGCGGACCAAAGATGCCAAGGCTCTTCAAATGACTGCACATGAATGGACTTATTAAAATAAAGCAAGTTATCACACACACACACACACACAAAGCTGAATGCCAACTATGATATTTACAACAATGTGATTTAAAATAAATGACCAAGTGGAGACATGGAAATGGAGATACTTGAAACAGAACTGATATAAACACATCTCCCCACTGGAGATCAGGAGTTCCTGGCTCCACTTTGTCCTGGCCCCGGCCTGGCTGTTGCAGTCACTTGAGGAATGAGCCAATGGATGGAAGAGCTTTCTCTTTTCCTTTGTGTACCACTGGCCTTTCAGGATCAGTTTTTATTAGAACACGGGAAATGTAAACATGTATTTCATAATGTTTAGAAATGGACACAAAGAGAGTTTCTTTCCTGAAGATGGAAAAGATCTATGTTTCTCTATTCCCCCCCCCCCAAGTAAAACTAAAAACCCTGAACATATAAATAAAAAACATAGGAAGACTGAAAGGTGAAGAAAAGACAGTAGACCATCTGAAGAGTTAAAGACCAGAGGGATAGCATGGCTGCAAATTTCCCGGGGTTACTTCTGGACTGGTATTTACACATCCAGACATGGCGCTGAAGAAGACAGCAATTCAGACAATACCTACAGTGCAGCACCCTCCCCATACACAGCACGCACACACATACACCAGCTACTTCCAGCCAAACACCAGGAAAGTGACACCCCTCATTTGTTTCCACCAGGCTCCCACCAGGTTACTACGGAGCAGGGACTTGAATTCCTACTGTAGCGTCCGCAGACACCCGTCGGCCACGTGGAGGCACTCTTCCCCCACTCCAGCAGGTGGCGTCAGAGGCGGCTTAGAGGTTCACTATTCCTTCCCACCCTCTGCCTGTCTTCTGGTGTCAGACAAGAAGTGGGAAGCGGTAATGAAGCACTCCCTCTCTCAGCCTAGTAGGGAGAGGAATTCCGTCTCTCGCCAGCTGCAATAAAGATCCTTTTCTCCCCTGGGTTTCCTTGGAGGCTGAGTGGAGAAGCTGGACCTATCCCCCTTCCTGGCAGGTATTCAGAGAGCACCTTCCTCCCCCAAATGCTTCCCTTAACGGAGTGCTCTCAGAGAAGACCACTAAATACAGTCTTATCCATGAGTTCTATTAGATAAAGAAAAGAGTTAAATAAGACCCATAGTCATACAATACTCAAAATATTTAGATTTCAATCTAAAATCACTCATCATATTGAATTTAAGTATCAATGCCAGTGTCAAGGCATAGAGTGAAGCCCCCACCTGCAACACTGATATCCCTTATGGGCACTGGTTCGAGTTTCAGCTGCTCTACTTTCCATTCAGTTCCCTGCTAACGCACCTGGGAGAGCAGCAGAAGATGGCTCGAATTCTTGGGCCCCTACACCCATGCAGGAGACCCAGAAGAAGCTCCTGGTTCTGGGCTTCAGGTTGGCCCAGCCCTGGACATTATGGCCACTTGAGGGGTGAAAAAACAGATGGAAGATTTCTTTTTCTCTGCCTCAATCTCTGTCTGTCCTCTATGACTCTGATTTTCAAATAAATAAATAGTTTTGAAAAAAAAAAACCTACTAACTGGCACAAAGGCTCAGTGCAATCCTTGCCTTGCATGCACTGGGATTCTATGTGGATGCCAATTTGTGTACTGACTGCTGCACTTAAATCAATCAATCAATCAATCAATCAGCCTACTAAAATCACTCATCATAATCATCACATCAAGAATTCTAAAATCAAAACTTGAATGAATAAAACAAAAACAAAAAAAACTTGATGGCAAGACTGAGAAATTAGAATTACCCAACAAAGACTGTAAATCAACAGTCATAAGAATTCTTCATGAGAATTTATGAGCCTATTTCACAGAAACAAAATGTCTTAAAAGTTTCAAAAAAGTGGAGAATACATAAAAAAGAACCAACTGCCATTTAGAATTGAAAAACATAAGTAAAAATTTTTAAAAACTCAATGCTGGGCTCAACAGTGGGATGGAAGGACAGGGAAAAGAAATCTGTAAACTTGAAGACAATGCAATCGAACTGTCCCCTCTGAATAGGAGATAGAAAAGTGAACAAAAGGAGTGACTGGCACCTCTGGCATTGCAACAACAGGCCTAGGACTTAATGCCATCACATCAATAAAGGACGGGAGGAAAAGGACAGCTGAAAAATATTTTAAGAAATAATAGGTACAAACTTTCCAAATGGCAAAGAAGCAGATTCAAGAAGCCGGGTGAGCTCCTAAATGGGATAAACCTAAAGAAAACAAGACCAAGCCATATCACAGTCAAACTTCTGAAAAAAAAAAAAACACAGACAGGGAAATCTTGAGAGCAGAAACAAGAGATGTTAGTCTGCCTTTAGTGGAAATTAGAACGACAGTGGGCTTTCCTCAGGAGTCACAGGGACCCCATGGCAGGCTTGGGGTTGGAGCACAGTGAATTCGCGTGGGGTTAAACCTCTGCTTGGGAAGCCCAGTCTGGGATCAAGTGCCATTTGCTTTTGCAGAATGTATAAAAGTAACAGAAGAGATGAATTTCAGGAAGAACCACATGAGTAATCTTTTTGAATAAAAGTTAAGAACAACTCTAAAGGGCTAGTAACACTGTGGTGCAAAGGCAGTTTGAATCCAGCTGCTCCACTTCCAGCACAGTGCCCTGCAAATACACCTGACGAAAGCAGTGGATGACGACTTCTGCCACCCACATGGGAGACCCAGATGGATATCTGGATCCTGTTGTGCCTTTCCCTCTCTGTCTGTTGGTTGCTATTATTGATGTGATTACATGATGGACCTGAGGCAGGTGGAGACTGTGAACAGGGCCTCAGGAAAGCATCATGAGGCAGGTAGACAGGGAAGCCTGTGGTAGACACAGAGACGGAATAGCCCAGATATGGGAAGCAGTTTGGACCAAGTCATGGAAACAGGAGGCAGCAGGCAATTCTTCAGAGAGAGAAGCCCAGTATATTTCTAATGGAAAGGCACCCCCAGTCCACATATGAATGAAGGCCACAGCCTTGGTTCCTGTTGCAAATATTCCTGCCAATTACCCCAATCAGTAGAGTGGATTTTTAAAAAAGATTTATTTATTTTTATTGGAAAGGCAGATATACAGAGAAAAGAAACAGAGGAAGAGCTTCCTTCTGCTGATTCACTCCCCAAGTGACGGCAATGGCAGGAGCTGAGCCAATCCTTAGCCAGGAGCCTCCTCTAGGTCTCCCATGTGGGTGCAGCATCCCAAGGCTCTGGGCTGTCCTTGACTGTTTTCCCAGGCCACAAGCAGTGAGCTGGATGGGCAGCAGGGCTGCTGGGACATGAACCACCACCCATATGAGATCCTGGGCATGTGCAAGGCGAGGATTTTAGCCACTAGGCTGCTGCGCCAGACCAATAGTGTGGATTTTTATCTGCTTTGATCATTGCTGTCAGCTCCTCCTTCACTAGAGCTCTAAGTTCGATCATTTCATCTCTACTGCCACTTACCAAAGCCAGGCCACTGTCTCCTCAGTGCTCACCAGTGAATTAAGCAGCCTTGTATTCCCTGTTATAGAAATACTGCAATTGTATCATCCAAAAGCCTGATAATACAGCCTTCTAGTGCTCTTCCCCCCAAACAGGAAACCTTAACATTGTAACCCTGCTTCATGGCTTTTGTTCTTGACACCCTGACCATGTCCCTTCCCTACCAACTCTCTTTTATGTCCTTCCTACTTTGGAAACTGTATTTCTTGGTGGTGAATCCTGGACTCAGAGTTTACTCTAAAGCGAAAAGCAACTTTTAAGAGGACATAAAATTCAGGGAGATTAAACTAGCAAAATCAACTTATAGAGATATAAATTTGGGTGTTTCTATATTTCTGCAATTTATTAATGAGTGCATAAAAAAGGCAAAACAAACAAACGCAGCAACCAACTAAACAAACTTATGTAGGGAGTAGTCCTAATTACATAAAAATATACATTTGTATGTATACATGAAGAAAAAAGAAAAAATTGAGATAAAATAATCTTAGCAGGAATAATAGGCTATAAGAATTCCTTCAGGCTTCTCCATGCTTTCTATATTTCCTACAGAAAACACATATGTATTTCACAAAGAAAGAAAACATTTTTAAAACATAGTAATTCATCAAAGACAAACTCTTTAGAGAATGCTTATGATTAGTTTTTACACTCACATCCTTTGAATGAATATCAAGTTCTTATGGTGATTAAGATAAATAATTCCTATGACACGTGGTTTTTCTCTATTTACCAGAGTTCCTCTCTCTCCTCCTTTGGGTTTTGAGTCTCTATTTCCAAAATTGACAATTTAGACACAAGATCTTTACAGGTGTTCTCACTTGTAATCAAATTTGCTGTTTTTCCCCCAAGAGTAAAATGATTTAAATTTTCAAATTGTTGTGAAAGCTTCAAGACCTGTAAAGTACAAAGATAAAGTATTCTACTTTGGGTACTATTACATATAACTCTGAAAAAAAGTATACTGTTCAATTAAATGTTTAGTCACCACGTTAAATAATGTATTAATTGAGGTTTTACTCCAGGTTACTACTTTGTAGTTGCTATATAACTTAGCCCATTCTTACTGAGGGTATTAAGATGTAAAAAGTTAAAAAGGGGGGTATTTGGTTTCTGGGGTTGGTCCATTGAGTTTCATTTTAAGTTTTGAAACAAGCAAAATGACGTGGCCCATAAAATTTTACACTATAATCACACCCCTTTGTTAAGTTTCAAATGTACTTCCCCGACTCATAAAAGTATATTCTTACACTTTTATAAAAGAGAACAGAAAGAAGATTGGATTCATATGGCAGAGAACAACTGATTCCACTTATTGGAAAACACATGAACTTGTAAGGGCTCCCAGGCTATCTCAGCGACTATCACAGTGGCTTTCAGGCCCCAGCACACAAACACGTCGCCTGAGAGGCTGATGAAAGGCACACTGCAGCTCCCGTCCTGAGATTGAGTCAGGCAAGCAGGACAGGAGACAAGAACCCACCCTGTAAATGAGCCTCCCAGGCAATTCTGATTACGTGCGTGAGAGTCACCTCTTGGTTGTGTGACTGGGAAAAGCAGGAATTCAGGTTTCGTTTGTGGTTTGACTTCTACAACCAGGTTCTGAAGATTTCCTTTCCTTTAGGATTACTATTTGCACCTTCATATAAAATGTAAGACTTCCTTCAGGTAGTAGAAAAATGGTCAGAAAATGGTTCAAAGAATGGAAAAGGGATCCCCATCAAATTACAGAGCTAAGGGAAGCAATATTCCTGACTCATATCCCAACTCTGCCTGAAAATGTTTTTCAGAACACAATGGCTTTAATTCTAAAGATTAGTTTAAGAATTTCTTAAATTAGGCTTCCTATACCTTTTTAATTCCTTAAAGCAAAACTACAGTGATGACTGTGGTCTAAAATCCCAAAAATCCAGATAATCTCACATGGACTCGAACTTTTCCCAGGAAGAAAAGTTGGCCTTGATTGGGCTCAAGGCACAGCATGTAGGTGAGGAATAGACTTTGAGCAGCACAGTTTAATCTTAGGGAGGGATGTGGTCAAAGGCAGTAACAGAATGAATGAAGAGTAATCTGTAGAGAAACGAGGAGGAGGATTTACTAGAATAGAGGTTACATAATGAGAAGCTGAGGAAATAAAACAAGATTGAGGGGAGAGGTCAGATTAGGAAGACTTGAAAGACAACTTTCCAAATGATCTGGCATTACTGTAAGCAAGAAGAAGCTTCCAAAATATGAGTTAATCATCGATTCTGTGGCTTTTGTAATACACACACACATTACACATAATGTATGTTAGGTTCTTCAGAAGTAAAGGATGACTAAAAGTGAAGTTTAGATTTGATGTGAGAGATGCTACTATCTTCTGAAGAGGATGGTGACAATAACGTATTTCTGAGTATTCTGAACTTTTGCATGACAAAGCTGGGGAGTGGGAGCTTTGCTCTTTGTTGTCAAGAAAAAATGACAGAATCATCCATGACACAGACACTGTGGGACCAGCTTGCTTCTACAAGTTATCAGGATGTTATCTTGATGACTAATAGTGCAACCTAATAATTAACCATGTCTAACTACTATAAAAACTAAGTTGATCTTTCCATTTTCTGATTGAGGCCTCACAGTGGGATAGAAAAGAACATGGGCTGAGAATCACCATCTAACTCGACAGCAGTTTAACATCTGTGCACTGCACAAATTTCTGTATTGTAAAGCGCAGCAGTTGGCCCGTATGACCTCATCCTATCAGTTTTGAATTTTTCTGACCAGGACTCTGTGTGTTGTGATCCAGATCAGAAAATGGGGGCTTCATCAAGTACTTAAAACATATCCTCTTGAGCCACAATTAGCAAAGTACATTTTAAGTCTAAAATATTCTGTGTTCTGGAGAGAAAGTGGAATATGATGAATTTTAAAACAAAAACTTGTAAGGGATAGAAGTTTGAAGGGAAACAAAACAATATAGTCTTGAAATACCTCCTTATGTTTATTAATTCTGAAGGCAGAGAGACTTAACGCCTTGGTCTAACAAAGCCAACATCATGAATAATGGAACATAAATTTTCCTATTTCCTTATAACATGCCCTGAAAGGGATAGAACATCATTTGTGTAGTATTCTTGCCCACCCCCCGACAAAAAAATGTTGTGAGGAAATGTCAGCAAATCCAAATGGCCATTTCTCAGAAGAAATCCTTGTGTTCCCTCAAAATATCGCAACCCTACTCACAATGGAAAGAGATGTGCAATGGCTTCTGAGAAGTGCTTAGGTCACCAGGGCAAATCCCCCAGGATGCCATTAATTCACTTGTGAGAAGTGATAGGAAAGAGTATGCTTCTTCTGTCTCTGCTCCCTGCTGTGGGAGTGTGCAGAGAGAAGACGGCAGTGTGCAGGAAAGAAGCCCTTGCCAAACTCGGCACTTGTTAACACACCGACCTTGGGCTCCCAGCCTTCAGAACTGTGTGAAATGAATGTTGTTTAAGCTACCTGGTTTATGGTAGTCTGTCAGGACTGCCCAGACTACAACAGCATATTTCAACAACACAGTCATGAAAGGCAAACACAGATCAAGGAACTGTTGCAGATTAAAGGAGCTCGGGACATGGTGATTACATATAATTTATGGTCCTGGCTCAGGCCTAATGCTAGAAAAACAGAGAGCATGGTAACTGACAAATCTGAATCCAAGCTGAAGATACCAGAGAACTACTGTGTCAGTGTTAATTTTACAAGTTTTGAGATTTGCATTGCAGTAACATGAGATATTGTTATTTTTAGAAAACACATGGCAATATTTAAAGGTAAAGATTATATCTCTAACTTTAAAGAGTTCACTGTGTGTGTGTGTTTGTGTGTGCATGGAGAGAGATAATAAAAGGGCAAATACAGCATCATGTTAACATTTAGAATGGCAGAGCTTTATGGGAATTCTTCATACTACTCTGGTGACTTTTCTACTAAGTGTAAAATTGTTTCAACATAACAGTTTAAAAAACAAGACAGGGAGAGGGAAGGAGCGAGAGGTGTATTGCCAGGATAGAGATTTGTACATTATTATTTTAGAGGATTTATCGTATGCTGCTCACTTTAGTCCATCTTTTCAGTGTTAACTTTCCTATGGTTCTCTGAGACACACGGTCCTTCCCTTGTCACCGTGGGACAAGCTCCCACAAGCTAAGGTCAGTAGTAGGCTGTGTCCTACACACTCACTCTTCCAGGCAGCTGACCCTGTGTTCTGGACCTTTCCCTCCCTATGGTTACACAGGGATCCATGCCCCAACCTTCCAGTAACTTGGTTTCTTCCCTCGCTTTTTTCCTTCCTTCTTTTTAAACAACTACACATAACAACGAATTAGGCTTCGATCTCGTTCTTCATCTCACAGAGGGTGCTGAGCCATAATCCAGCATATTTTAACTGTTGTGTTCAAACCTTCACGCCTTACTGCCATTTTAATCTAGATCAAAAGAATTATTGAAGAAGGGAATTTTCAGTTAGAAGATAACACACTAGGTAGGACTCAAGAAATTACACTCCAGGTGACCTCTCAATTTAACACCAGAATAACTCTGGTCTGATTGCCATTTTTAAGCTCAGGGAACTAACTGGGGTCAGGACATTGAAACATCTTAAGTGTAAGTCCACCTCCCAGTGTAACTGAAAACTATACTTGGGTCCTAACTTTTTTTTTAAAAAAGATTTATTTTTATTATTTTTTATTGGAAAGGCGGATATACAGAGAAGAGAGACAGAGAGGAAGATCTTCCGTCCGATGATTCACTCCCCAAGTGAGTGCAACGGCCGATGCTATGCCAATCCGAAGCCAGGAGCCTCTTCCGGGTCTCCCACACGGGTGCAGGGTCCCAGAGCTTTGGGCGGTCCTCGACTGCTTTCCCGGGCCACAGGCAGGGAGCTGGAAGGGAAGCGGGGCTGCCGGGATAGAGCCGGTGCCCATATGGGATGCCGGGCGTGCAAGGCGAGGACCTTAACCACTGCGTCTTCACGTGCCGGGCCTTGGGTCCTAACTTTTTAAGTTGAAGACATTTGAGTAACCTTTCAGATTATACTATGTGCTCTAGTAACTAAGCTGGCATGAAGCTGCTTTTAATCTAAAAATTCACAAATTCTAAACACCAGGTACTGGTTGAAGTCTTACTATTTATACTGAAATACAAATATAGCAGGGTTTATAATCCATTTTATATGGTGATTTGCTCTGTAATCATAAAAGAAACTCCAATCTTTAAGTCATTTGTTATTGAAAGTTATTTTCTTCTGTCCCACTCTCATAAAACATATTAAAAATTGAACATTTAAATAGGAATACTTTGATCTCACCTTTGTCTCTAATTCAGAATTCTCCTTTTGTAGCAGGTCATATACCATTAAAAAATGCCCTTTGCTGTCTGCTGCCCCTGGAAGACTTTGCATTTCATTATATAGGCATGTAAGTTCCAATTTTGATTTTTCTAATTCCTAATTAAAAAATGAAGATATTCTAGAATAAGGCTACTTCTCCATATAAGGTTTAATATTTCTAAAACAGATCTTAAAATGCTTCTGGAAATTTCTTGTTTAACCTGAACATTCTTAGTTTTGCTGATCCACAAGGTTGAAAGACTGGGTTTCTAGTGTCTTTTGTATTGTAAGCAAGGTTTGTACAGAAGTGAGGTCTCCCACAACTCCTGCTTTCCATGGTTATCACCTGTTTTGAAATGCATTTTAAAAGTCACCTTTAATAGGCTAATGTGTTATGAGGTTTACCTTTAGCCTGTGTCAAATCAGAGGATTATTGGAACTAGGGCTGAGCGAACTGAAATGACTCACTTAGGTTCACAAAGTCAGGAAGTTGTAAAGCTGAGACTGCAGACCTATGTCCATCTGTCTCCAGGTTCTTAAACACACATCCTGCTGCCTTATCTAAAAATGTATGTCCTGTGACTTAGTCAGCTAGCGTGTTCTTTGTTCCTTTTTCTTTTCATACCCATGAGAGGAAATACTTCAGTTAGATATAGATTTTTTCAAATTAAATTTTATATTGATCTTATGGAATATACAGTGTTTGGTGGAAGACTAGGAAAGTCAGTCTATGAGAGCTAGTCTATGGTGTCCAATGAAGGGGACAGGGCACATCAAATTTACTTTAGGTGAAGAAATTTGCTACTCGGTGTTTCCTTAAAATGAAGTCAGAGAGGGAGTGAACAAAGAGAAAGGAAGGTAAGAGGGTGTCCTCCCAGAAGGCACAGGGTATCAATGGCCTACCTCATTCCATGAGGATGGGGCTTGGGGTATTGCACTGGCTCTCACCCATCTTGTAAACTGGTTAAGAAACATCCCTGTCCTCTCAACTGGTTATCTAGACTTCCAGGAACTCACTTCCAGACTTCTCTTCAAAGCAAAGATGAATCATCTCTTTTTAGATCTTTCTGATACAAGGTTGAGAGACAAGTATGTGAATCTATGAACACCACAGCTGTCAATCACCTGCTGATTACAGACCCCTTAGCTAGTGCTGGAACTCAGCGTGGGGAAGCAGCAGAACTGTGCCTCATCACTACTAGAAGTACATATGCTGTAGTGCCATGGACTGAATTATGGTCTCCCCCATTCATACGATGGAGCCCTAATCCCTAATACCAAAAAGGAGGTGATAAAGGCCAAATAAGAAAGTATGAATGAGTCCCTGATGTAATAGGTCTGGTGCTTCTGAAGGACCCGCACTCACTTTCTCCCCTTCGTGTGAGCACAGAGCAAGAAGGTGGCTGTCTAAAAGCCAGGAGGAGAGGCCCTTACTAGGAAGTGAATTATGAAATGTTTAGCACCTTGAACTTAGATTTTTCAGTCTCAAAACTGTAAGAAAATTAATACATGTTATTTCAGTTGCCCAGTCTACAGTACTAGTTATGGCACTGCAAGAATACATAGTTGCAATTTATTTTAAGATAAAATAGAAGACAATATGAAATTTCTAAATTATGGTTAACACAAGAGAGAGACACCATCCTGCAGGGTAGTACCTCACTTTTAACTCTCAGAGCCTTTTGTATAGAATTAAGACTGCATGCCAATTGCTTTCTCTTCTTTTTCTCTTCTGTTAAATTACTTTCAAATATTTCAATGTTTTCTTGGCTCATGTTAAATATCTGTAAAAAGCATTTTACAATTAATCCTATATACAACAGCAGTGTTTCCTATAAATTGTGATAATGCTTTCTAGCTCAGTTATAAAGTCACATAGGAACTATATGAATACGAACTAAGACAAACTACTTCAGGGTGCCATCACTCCCAATGTATTTTCCTCTCTGAGCCTGTTCATACAAATGTAAAATGTAGTGACAGTTATTCTTCCTACAGTACGGCCATCACAGAAGGAATAAAATGTGATTTTGAAAGTATTGTATAAATTCTCGGTACCTACCAAATATAAGGTGTTGCTAAAATCTTTCCACATTAACTAATAATAATGATTGGAGGGATATAGGTAGCAGCTACTACTTACTGAATAGTAATAATGATAATTATTATTATCCTACCTGTCTGATACTATGGTAGTAATTGCTTTACATGCATTATCTCATTTTATTTCCTCAGAACTCTCACAAGACTGAAATTCTTACATGCTTTTTTTCAGAAGAGAGAAGTGAGGCTTGGGTATGTTACATAATGGGACCAAGTTACCCAGTCAGTACTGGGATTCAAATCCAGGTCTGATGTAAGAGCCCTTTTAATATCTACTCCATTCAATTTTGTCAAGTGTGTTTTCTCTTTTGTACAAAAGCCTGTTAGGAACTTATGCCTCCTGTCTAAAACACAGATAGAAGGATTACATTCTGTTGTTACAAAGCACAGTGAGGTGACTGTAGTTCACAAAACTTATTATATATTTATGAATACCTGGAAGAGGGGAGCTTAAAGTTTCCAAATGCAAAGTAACGATAAAGGGAGGGGAACATTAATTGTCCTGATTTAATCAAAACATACTGTTGCATGTATTGAAATGTTATACTGCATCCCATAAATACGTGTAATTCTGTGTTAATCATAAATATTCTTTAAGGAGACTGAAATGCCAGCTAAACCGATCTGATTATTACACATGCATCACACAGGTATATATAAAATTATCACCCTTATACACCCCTAATCTGTACAATTAGAAAATCTCTTTTAAACCTACCAGAGGATTAAACTGCAATAAAAATGCAGTTTAGTTAGCACAGAGTGAGAATGGAGCCAATTTCTTTGATGATCGGCCTCCCTGTCATCAGGTAAGTTGAGGACCCTGCTCTACCATGAGGGTGTGCCTGTCCCGGGAACAAACTACATGTGAAGTCTGGCCAGTAGGGAAGCCGCATGCATCTGACACATCTGATCTGTACTCTGCTATCCGGGCTGTGCCAAATGGTGTGTCAGCGGAGAACCCTACCTGTCCCATTCTTCCAGTTCCCAACAGTGGGACCAAGAGCTAGTGACTTCACTTTCAGACCTGGTTTCCTCATGTGAGGAACAGGGATGATGATGACCGGATCTATCTAAATCTATCTACACGTATCAATGGATGTGCTATTCATAAAGTTTGTGAGTGACAGCTTACATTATTGCAATGTTATTCTCATTTTTCACACTTAACTATTCATTGAGGCACTGCAACATGCTTATTTTATACTAGCTTATCCCAGATCTGTCTTTGATGGTTTCCTTTCTGACTGACTACTCCCAGGAAGGGCAGTTCGCAACTACTGATGACAATCTTAGAATGCAGAGTTAGCAGTTCTGGAAGCATGGCTTTGCCTTCCTTCTGTTCTCAGTAATACTTGGGCATCCTTATGGAGTTTACCTTGTCTGTATTTCAAAAGGTAACAGAATGTTGAATTTTACATAGTCTTACCTCATTCAGATCTTGTGCTTTAATGGTTTCTTGGCCTTTCATACTGGTCTCTTTTCTGTCTTCCTATGTGCTTGATAACTTGGGCTCTAAGATGGAAATCTTAATCCAAATAAACCATAGTTATAATGCATACATGTGTTACTTGAAAAACAGAGCTACATTTCTTAAGCATCCTTCCCTGAGGATACACCCATGAGGTCTCTTCTGAATGGCAAGTGCCATCTCCTATCTGGTTCTGGATCCTTCAGCGAGCGGGTTGCTTTACTACGACGTGAGCCTTTGCAGAGCTAAATGGAATACGCATTAGAAAAATCCAATATAGAACTCCAGTTGTCTTCTATTGATCAAACTGCTTTACTTTATTAAACCTGTCTCATACTGAACATCAATAAAATAGGTAACAATCCCAAACTGATGATTTGGAAAGATTGGGGAATGCTAATACGAAAATTAATGCTGAAACCTGCAATGTTCAGAATTCTTTCAGCTGTGTGGACCACAGGTTTAGTTGGGAATTTTATTGACTCAACAACATTACACAGGGATGTGGGGAAGCATGTATTCTTTTGTTCTGGGATAGATCTTCTTCCTTTTCATCAACCATCACCTGTGATGGTGAATGTTTTTGAAAATCTGACCATGGCATGCTGGGGCATTCAATTCTCTAGGCAAGAATTCTAGTAGCTCTGCTTTCAGGCCACCTGAGACACCCCAGAACACAGTAGAAGAAGCCATGTCAACCTTAAAACTTTTCATTTTCTTTGTACTGTTTTAGAGTAAGAGTGTCATGTGCATTGGGCACCGGCACAGCAATTAAGTTGCTCGATATTGTGCCTGGGTTCATGTTCCGCTCAGTTTTTAATTTTACCTTCCTGCGAATGTGCACTATGGGAGGCAGCAAGTGATGGCTCAAATACTTGGCTCCCTGCTACCCATGTGAGAGATGTGTATTGTATTCCTGGTTCCCAGCTTCAGCCTGGTCCAGGCCTAGCCTTTGCAGATATCTGAGGAGTGAATCAGTGATGAGTGGTCTCTCTGCCTCTTAAATAAACTATCTTTGAAAAAGAATGTCACATATTTTTAATGTTATATTTTTTCAAAAAGACTGCTTTCCCAATTAAGATATATTTGAAATGTGTCATAATTTGCAACACATTGAACATAGTTACAAATATTCAATATACATGCTTAATATAGTTATACAAATTATCTACACAGTTTGGTGATTTATATACCTCCTGAGACTGCTGACCAAATTTAAAATAGAGAAATAAGGAAAGGCCAGAAAATAATGTGAGAGATGGGAAATGAGATCTAGAGTTTCCCAGGTAGCTCAAGGGAACCTACCTCACTGGAAGCCAAGGCCAGCAGCAAACAGAGCAGGTGTGCTGATTTGTTTTCAAACTGTCTAATTAGCATGGGATAGCCACCAATGGCCTGAAAGCAACGGTTTAACAGTTCAGAATTTTCCATTTCTGTGTTCTATTACCTGGAAGATAGGGATCTTCCTGTGCCCTGAACTCAACTGCGACTCCCAGGTACTACCTGATGAGTTTTACTGCCAACTTTGTGTGTAGCTGCCCCAGGATTGCGTAGTTAAGTGAGACTGTATAGAGAATAAGACATGCCCGGTCATTGCATGAAGAGATTTACATGCTCACCTCTGGGCACGCTATGGTCCCATGGGTTACAATAAATCCTCTCTATAAATTGACACAAGAATCAGTGTGGTGTAGAAAATAAGCACTGGGGCCAGATAAACCTGGATCAGCTCCTGGCTGTGACTCTGGCCAAATTCCCTTAAGTTTTCACAAACAAGAGTATGAAATGAGAACACTCAGGTCTGGTACAATCGCTCAATGGCTAAAACTTCACCTTGCAAGCGCCAGGATCCCAATGGGGACTGGCTGATCCACTTCCCATCCAGCTCCCAGTTTTTCTTGTGGCCTAGGAAAATAATCAAGGATGGCCCAAGGCCTTGGGACCCTGCGCCCACGTGGGACATCTGGAAGAAGCTCTAGGCTTCTGCATTTGGATCAGCTTGGTTCCAGATGTTGTGGCCATTTGGGGAGTGAACCAGCAGATCCAAGATCTTTCCCTCTGTATCTCCTTCTGTCTGTTAAAAAAAAAAAAAATCTTAAAAAAAAAAAAAAAAGAAATAACTATTTTAAAAAAGAAAAAAAAAAGGGAACAGGGAACACTTCTATTTACCTTGGGTCAGATGACCCCACAGATGACAAGAGAAGATGTTTGGAAGACACCTAAAACAATCCTGACACATTCCAGAGGCTCAGCATGCTGTTGCTCTCCTGATTCCTGCAAGATACCTGGCACCCCTTCCATTCTAAGTCTTTTTTCTGAGGACGTATATACCATCAGCACCAAGGGGGCTGACTGGGTGCTAAGTCTGTCCTCAGGTGGAAATGGGTCAGTAACACATTCATATCTCAAGGTATCTGCTCGACAGAAAGGAGTGCTGTTCTAGACTATTCTTCCCTTTCAAGCCTCATGCCCCCCCCTTTTTAAAATTTATTTTTATTACAAAGTCAGATATACAGAGAGGAGGAGAGACAGAGAGGAAGATCTTTTGTCTGTTGATTCACTCCCCAAGTGAGCACAAGGGCCGGTGTTGGGCCAATTCAAAGCCAGGAGCCAGGAACCTCTTCCAGGTCTCCCACACGGGTGCAGGGTCCCAAGGCTTTGGGCCAACCTCAACTGCTTTCCCAGGCCACAAGCAGGGAGCTGAATGGGAAGTGGAGCCGCTGGGATCCCGGTGCATTCAAGGTGAGGATTCCAGCCACTAGCTACGCCGCCAGGCCCTTTTATTTTCTTTCTTAAAGATTTATTTTTATTGGAAAGGCAGATATACAGAGAGGAAGAGAGACAGAGAGGAAGATCTTCCTTCCGATGATTCACTCCCCAAGTCACAACAGCCAGAGTTGTGCCAATTCGAAGCCGGGAACCAGGAACTTCTGGGTCTCCCACACAGGTGCAGGGTCCCAAGGCTTTGGGCCATCCTCCACTGCTTTCCCAGACCACAATCAGGGAGCTGGATGGGAAGTGGGGCTGGTGGGATTAGAACTGGCACCCATATGGGATCCCAGCGTGTTCAAGGCGAGGACTTTAGCTGCTAGGCCCCCGTGCCGGGCTCCCCCCTTTATTTTCCAGGAAATTTTTAGGAGAAACTCTCTGTAGAATGTCCAGGAATAGGGGCATCTCTGACTAGCATTTGAGAAGATCAAGAAATTTATATCTTCTCTGGTTCATTAAGCATCCCTGGAATACAGGTTGGAAATAAAAATATGAACCTGTAGTCAGATTGAGCTTTCAAATATGGGGATCATGCATACATGTGTATATACATATATAAATGCACATATATTTATATATGGGAGAGAGAGAGAGATGATTCAGATCATATAATGATGGGTCTGAGAAGATAGCAGACTAGTGGCCCAGCTTAAGCAGGCAGAGAACACAGTCCCTTCTCCCACTTTTTGTGCTCCTAGGCCTTCTGCTGACTGCAGGATGCCCACTCAAGCTGGCAAGCTGTAGTGCAATCTGCTATGGATTCAAAGGGTAATCTCTTCTGGAAATCTCTCCTTGACACACCCAGAAATAATGTTTAACCAAACGTCTGGGTGTCCTGTGTTCTCATCAAAGTGGACACACTCAAGTAAACAACAGATTATCCTTCTACTTCCTCTGGGTAAGAAGCAGAAAATGAAGCAGTCAGCAGTGAGGAAGGGGCGATTGCAGGAGGCACCTGAGCGCCCATGGGGAAGCTAACGATCCCACGCTGGGTACAGTACAGGAGCAGATCAGGTCTGCCATGGCACTCACTCGCAAGGGCTGTGTTTCTCACCCGCTGACGGCAGCGCCAGGCTAAGAATGACCCTTCAGCTAATCATTATTGAGGCTACCAGGGCCTGTCTGCAAACACAATCAAGGAAGCTTGAGGCTTATTCTTCATGCATGATTAAAAGAGAACTCTGAAGGTAAAACCTCGTCAGTTATCTCCGGATAAGTATCTCCAAAGGCACTGAGGAAATGGATTTGAAAGGTCATTTAGCTTCTATTTACTGCTCATCTCTGGAGTTAAGAGTCCTAGCTGCAAAAACCTCTACACAGAAGAGGCATTTATGCAGTGTTCTTCATGGCCCTCTCCAGCGGGGATGACGAGAAAGGGTCATTAGAGTCAATATTAAGCTTCACTTTTACTATTTGGAAAATATAAGAAATTCATGTATTTCAAGTCTTGCTGTCAAAGAGAGAGAAAAAGAAAACTTGGTTATACTACAGTATAGAGGACTATGAGATCCAGGAACATGAGAGAAAAGTGGGTCAGGCAGTTAGTACAGCAGTTAAGATAGTAACTGGGGACACCCATACCACAATGCTTGAGTTCAAGTTGTGGATCTACTATGATTTCAGGCTTCCTGTGAATAATGAGCACCCTGAGAAACGTGCTTCAGGCGGTGGGATCCCGCCTCCTATGCGGGAGAGCCAGACTAAGCTCCCAGCTCCTGGCCTCAACCTGGTTCAATCATGGTTCTGGGCACTTGGGGGGAGTAAACCAGCAGACTGGAGATGCCTCTGTCTTTCAAATACATAAAAATAGATAAATGAGGTTGGCACTGTGGTATAGGGAGTTAAGATGCTGCTTGAAATGCCATCATGCCATAATGGAGCACTGGTTGGAGTTCCAGCTGTTCCCTTTCTGAACCGGATTCCTCATACACCTGGGAAGGCAATGGAGCATGACCCTATACTTGAGCTCCTGCCACATGGGAAACAGCAAAGGTTTCTGGCTCTTGCCTTTTGCCTGATGCACCCTCAGCTGTTGCACCCGCGGGGAGTGAACCAGTGAATGGAAGATTCCCTCTCATTCTTCATGAGTATGTGTGTGTTCTTTCTCTCTTTCCCTGTTGTTTTGACTTTCAAATAAAATAAATCTTTGAAAAATAAGTAAATATTGGGCCTGGCAGCGTGGCCTAGTGCCTAAAAAGTCCTCGCCCTGAACACATCGGGATCTCATAAGGGCACCAGTTCTAATCCCGGCAGCTCCACTTCCC